CATTCTTGGCTTCCCCTCTTGGCATGTCAATCATGGCTCTAACTTGTTTTGTCGAATTCAAGGGTCAGGAGCCAATCGCGTAAGCAAAACGGCTAGCTTGTCCCACAACCCTATAGGGCTGAAAAAGGGCTGGGGCGCTTTTGCGAACATTTCTTTTTCTTACTCTTTCGAGCCACCCAAGTCGTCATGCTTGTGTAACTGCACGATACATACACAGTAGGTAGTACACGACTGCCACCACTCCAAGCCTAGCTTCAGTATACAAGGAGGCTTACTCACCTACCGATATTCCACTTGACCACTTGGATGACTGCGCGCTGTGTTTGATGTGAGTCACGTCATGTGATTTGGGGTAAAGTAGGAAGGGAAAGGCAGGGAAAGGCAAAGGGAAGAAACCGCGCTGGCAAGTCGAGCAGCATCCCATCCCCCAACATCCGCAGTAACCACAGCGAGTAAAAATTCGCACACAATTACAAATCCCACGATAGGCAATCATGCATTTCAGAGTCTTCCTTCCCAATCCGTACAGATTAACGGTGCCAGGATGTGTAAGTAGTGTGAATGTTGGGAGTCGGCGTTGACGGCGCTGCACCGGAAAAGAGGGGATTATCCATCTATGATCGGTGCGCATCGCTGCAACATCCATTCCCTTGCATGGCAGACATGAATGAATCCCACTCCAAATGCCCTCACGTGGGACCTAACACGAGTAGGCCTTGGTTTCGGCTTCTAACCAGCGCTTGGCTTTCGCTACGGCTACAGTAGTTGATCTGCCGGCTCCCTCTTGCCCTCGTCCCGATGCACTCACTCACTACTGATGCACGGAGAGTTTGGCCCTCATCGACTTACTTGGTTTACCTAGCTGTTGGAACTATTTACCCTCCTAACCTTGCCAATTCCTTGATGATTGAATCCAGCTCCTGTTATGTAATTTCCCTGGAGTACCTCGCGTACCGCTCTCCGGGACCGAGCAGAAGACAGCTTACGGAGCCCCCACCAAGCCTAGCTCAACCGGAGATCACTTTTGTGAGGCTTTGGCTATTCTTCTCAGAAAGCGCTGACCTTGGGTTGGTTAACCTCCATACAACCTACGTAATCGCCTCGCCTTGTTACTCGGCCCTCTCAAACCACTTCCCCCACATATCGAGCGCTGTGTATCCATGGCCGCCATGCCGGACACTCTCTACCATTGGGACTGTACGTAGTAGACCGCTTTGCTACCAGGCAATTGTTGGATGGCACGATAAACACCTGATATCTGCCAAGTCTACTCGCTTACTTGCTGTTATGAACGCCTTGCGCTCCTAGTACAGCAGTGTGGACTAACTATGCCCACTCGGTCTAGGATGGAATATTGTAGGCCACACTACGCTAGTCATAACCCATAACCCGCAGGTCGGCTCCTATCGCCCATAGGGCTCCAAGATTGTGTAAGTGCAGAAAGAAGCCCGATGAGCCCGGATATTGCATGCATCGTGTGATATGGAGGTCCCTGGGTAGGTAACATCGCTGGCATGCAATAACCTTTCCCATCTTCCGGTTTGCCCTTTAGGGATAATAAGCTCTGCCAGTATAACGTGTAAGTGTATGTACGTGTGCACACATGCATGACCCTGGTGATGGTCATGGGAGCTAGAAGGCTGACTAAGACTTCTCTGACACTTTCTTAGTGTAGGATGAAAGTTGGCGGGGCAGAAGGCAGATGAATGTGTTCTACCGCATTACCAGAACTACTTCGTAACTAACTACTGTAGCATTGATGTGCTCAATTCCCATACTTGGTATATATAGAATCATTAGAGCCTGTTGTCTGTGGAGATGCGTCAAGACCGAAGTTCGCATTGGAAGGCAGGAATGGAAGCCCAGCTTTCCTTGTCAAGGCTTACTACTTACTACGCCCTGTCAGAGAACTCTGTTCTCAACTCGGCCAAGGAATTAAGAAGCCCTTGCTAAGAAAACTTGTTGTGCGACTCTGTTGCTGGCGACCTTGGCAAGGTTGGCTTCGAGGGTTAGTGCAACAAAAGAGTCTCGTTACTACACTAAGTACTTTCACTAGGGACTGCCGGACGTCTCGGGGTTTAGCGAAACAGATATAGGGCTTGACAGTTCATTTTGACGATATAAAGTATTATTGCGTTGATTCCACCGGATACTTGCTTAGTACATGAGAGCGCGATCCATCGTGGCTTAGGTGACAGGCGACTCCGCGTGTAAGTGACGCCGCAAACCAACCTGCATTCTTCTACCTCACAAAGAGTAGGAAGGTTCAGCTTTCGTCTAACCTCCGTGCGTTGCATGCCTTGGCTTCATGTTTTCTTCTTTTAACGATCTACGTAACATTGAAATGTGACCGGAACATACACGAACTGGCACTGGTCCGCCGCAACCCGAGAGACGCAATCTGAGAAGAGATTGGTGAAATGTGAACGGGTGTCCGGAGCAGCTTAGGGCCAATAATATCACAAAGTATAGGGAATTCGGCGAGTAATTGTAAGTCGCCTTGAACATGACATCGAGGCCATTTTTTTTTGGCTACGGTGTGAAGATGTTGAGGTGTTCGCAAATGCGATCTTCAGCACACTAACCCCGCATCCCATGAAATGGGAGACCATCATCTTGAGAGCAGAGCATTGACCTGAACGTAGGCATTTCTTAGGAATAATATAGGTGCCATTGTAAGTACATACATTTGGAGGTACATATGTATGAACTCGATAGGTCTGCAAGCTGTGCCTACTTACCGTATTACATGTGCCGCTTGCTGTATTTTTCGCAAAAGAAGTTATAACTGAGCATATTCTCACGTACATGCACGCAGGCGGAACGCCAAAATGTTGCCAGGTGCGATGCCTCGTCGTCGGCTGAGGATAAGTACACGTACCTACCATAACGAGCAGTTGATGTGGGATGTGGAAGGTGGGAGATGGGAGATGGGAGGTTTGTACCTACCTAAGTCGGTGTACAACAGGTATACAATACCTACACATAGTTATGACAGCGCGACAAGGCCAAGGGTAATAACCAGATTACCTCAGTACTCCGTACCTAGAGTGCTATGAAAGTACGTAGGTACTTGCTATGTTAGTACAGTAGGGCAGGGAAGAGCAACTCGGCAGGGCACCAGACTAGACCTACCCCCTCTCCGCTTTGGAATGGATCTTTGTCGACATTGCAGAGAGTATACACTACACTATGAATACCTACATGCACTCCGTAGGGCCTGACAGTTTATTCCCTGTCGTTGTCGAATTGGCCCTGCCCTGGACAAGTTGTAGAGGTACCTCCTGCAGCGGCTGCAGCTTGCAGCTAACAGGCCCATGTTGCGATACCTCGGTACCCTGTCTGCCCATGTATGCCCATGTAAACGCTACAACGGTACCTAGGGGACCCCTGCGAACAATCCACAACCCGCGACCCAGCGGCCCCTGTAGGGAGGGTGGACGCTAACAGGGCGCCACCAGCCAATCTGCGTATCCCTGCCGCTTCCTTAAAGGGCTGAAGAAGGGACCACGCTCACCCATCATTACATTCCCATAGGGCAGAGACGTAGCGTAGCAGCCAGCCGCTGTACCCTGCCGTCGTACCCTACACATGTACCCTACGGTACATCCGCCTCTTGTCTTGCCTCTGACATAGTACGGTACGCTACACGTACGTTGGATAGGTAGGTAGGTAAGTAGGTATACAAATGCAAAGGTACCTATACCTGCTTTCCGCCTGCATCATCGGGTAATACGTACATAGTACCCAGGTAGGGTAGGTGCTTGGGTTGGTAGAATACCCAAGGCAGGTAGACCTACCCGCTATTCTATTCTTCTAGCCTACCTACCTGCCTACCTACCTACCTGGACCTACTTACTCTATGTACCTCCTACCCTTATTTACCTCTACCGACCCAACCTACCTACGACCTAATAAACCTCCTCTACCTCTCGCCCTCACCCCTCCAACTCTTCCCATACTACACACGAGAGGAGGCTATCTTCGACATTCCGCCTATGGTCCACGAAGCCGACGCTGCTGGGCTTGACGTAAAGGAACTTCACATCGAGATCGCCTGCTCGCCTTCGCCGCCAGTATAGTTCCTATCCTCGAGGTCATTGCTATAATCAGAGACTCTTACACAAATTCGTCCCATGTTGTCGGTGTTGCTGCTTCGAGGCGTCGTTGACTTTCCTTTTTCCTATACCATAGGCCACCCTCTCCGGCTCTGCCATTGAGCATTGTCTGTGCTGCTACGTGTGTGATTGGTGTTGTCTGGGGTCTCAAAAGGGTCAAATTGCCACAGCATTCGCCTAGCATACCCGCCATCTCCGCCGCCTTGTGCTCCGGAAGTTCCATGATACCTCTTGTGTACCAGCCTACCAGCTTGAGTTACCCCGAGCCAGTTCCAGTCTAGATACAGCCACAATTTGGCGAGTCGTTCGCATTGGTACTCCCTGATCATGACGTTTGCCGTCACTCCGGCTCGACAATAGCGAAACGACTTCCACTACGAGTCTCTACTACTACTAACCTTCAATTGTCAGAAGCGGCCACACCGACGTCCTTTTGCCACTGCCACTATACAATTCACCTTTCCTTTCCGACCTCGGAATAGTTTGGCTGGTAGTAACCTGGCGCTGTAACCTCAAGTTTCCTGACATCGAGCTCGTTCTTCCATGACCCGCAGTCTCTTGCGCAAGCCGCTACCTTCTCTGGCTGCTGACCTCGTCCTCCGTGGTGTTACTCTTGGTCCGTTTTCGACCTGCCGCGGTTCACTGTAAGAGGTGCTCTAGTGACTCGCGCTCACCGAGTCGTACGATTTCATACAATTTCGTAGCAGCCAGTTATTTTAATCACAGCAAGACATCATGGAGATCCCTTCACGATTTTCTCCCCGGGAGCCGGGAGGGCCTCCGCCAGCTATTTACATACAAGAATCCAGTCGATTTGATAAACCCGGCCGCTTCGGTCATACGCAATCGCAGGCATCCAACTTCTCACCTTCTTCAGTCCCCATGTCGATACCAAACAGTCACCGCAATGTGGAGGACGATGCACCCCCTCCATTGCCACCTCCTAGATTTATACCCGGCTTTGCGCCTCCTGGACCACCGAGCCACGATCGTATTCCTTCTATTGACTCAACCGCTAGCTGGGACTCGAGACGCGACAGTGATAGCGACCATTTACGGTTTAGGAAAAAGGAGGTTCGACCACACCAAAGGGATGAGGGCTACCATAGCATGAACTCGACATTTTCGTCAATTGGGTACGTCAATTAGACCAACAGCCTTGGTTTGCACTTCCCAAGCATAGTTCGCCCTGTCGGCTAACCCGCAGCACTTTAGCACCCAGGATTCATTCCCGAAGAAGCTTTTCATGTCCCACAACATCCCCCAGTTCAACAAGTCTGCAGCGAGCGATTATGACAGCCATCTGCTTAAGAAGTTAGATTCGCGTCGAGTCTTCGACAACCGCTCACCACCTCGCCGATCTGGACTTGCCATGTCTTTGGACCAAAGTAGACCTGATCCCTCACGTCATAACAGCATCCCTCAGTTATCTTTACCTCTTCGACTGAATAATAACCATCCAACGGATTCCTCTAGTCGCTTCACAGAGTCACCTACACAGTCAGTAGCCACGACAACATCACCACGTGCTGCGCCGTATTATTCTGTCGCCGGTCCCGAGTATCGCTCACCAGTCGAATTGACAGATATGGACCGTTCACCACGCTATAGAGCTAGGCGGAATAACAGTGACGACGCCACTATGTCAACACATAGTGGTTACGACAATATGGAGGACGTAGATTTTCCAATGGAAGAAACGTCTGGTATTAGGAGATTACGTATTGATGAAGCCCACGGGCGGTCAGATTACCGGTCTGTTGGGCAGAAAAGACGCGCATCCTCGCCGCCGAGTGGAGATAGTCCACCACAAGGACCATTGAATTCTAGCGACCCTACAAGGCGCCGCGACGGCGTTGGCAGGGGCTCACCAGCCCCACGACTGAGCTTAGTACCACCAAGCTCTATGTCCTCAGTGTCAACCGCGGGGCGTAGTGCATCCTATGTTTCAACGGCGTCTCTAAATACAAGCATTTCAAGTTTGACCTCATTTGGGGGCAGATCTCCTAGCGGACTATCGTCTGGAGGCCTATCTCCCGTCGACATGATGGGCAATTCACCTTATAATACGCCAGTATCACTCGGGCCCTCTTGCGCACCCTTTGGTCGAGCCCCCCATCAGCGGAATGCTAGCAACGAAAACAAGCAACTTGCGTCACCACGAAAAGTTGTAGAAGTACCGAAAGCCACCATTTCGAAACTGCAAGGCGGCTTTCTCATGTGTGAATGTTGCCCTAAGAAACCTAAAAAATTCGAGACACCAGAGGAATTAAGGTATGTGTGCTCTACCATAATAACCCTTCGCGTGGTTTTGTGATTAACAATTCAACCATTTAGTGCGCATGAAGCTGAGAAGCAATATGAGTGCTCGTTCTGTGGCAATCGTTTTAAAAACAAGAACGAGGCTGAACGTCACCAAAACAGTTTACATGTCAGGCGCCATAGCTGGTCCTGTTCGGCACTTCTCATGTCAGGCTTTGATAGAGCTTTCCACGAGAGTCAAAACAGGCCCGGCGAGGCCGATACGTGCGGCTATTGCGGTGAAGAATTTATGCGTAGTGGGGGAGCTGCACGTGCGCGGCACGCAACTGAGCGTGATTGGGACATGCGATTGAAGCATTTACAGGAAGCTCATAAGTTTCGGGAGTGCAACTCGAGCAAGAAGTTCTATCGCGCGGATCACTTCCGGCAGCATCTTAAACATAGCCATGCCGGCACAAGTGGAAAGTGGACTAACATGCTAGAGAATGCCTGCATGTTGGACGAAGAGCCACCACAGCCTTCTCGGTGAGCAGCAGGCTGGTGGAAGAGTCGTGCCGTTGGATAGACAACTGCTTTGCAATCATGACGCAATTCAGCGGCACCAGTGGGCGGCTACGGCCTTGTCCTGTTTCAAGTAGGTTTACTCGAATCTCAGTCGATGAGGCACGTCGTCTACCGCATTGTCCACAAGTACTTTTTGCACTTTAGGCACAATGTGCTGACCACTGTTGGCAAGAGATACTAGCTGCGCATTGGGATCCACCCTTTGCAACGGTTCTTGTCAGTGGTCCTTTTACGAGCGGCGCTGTTGGGTGACGGCAGTCTTGCTCGTACGGCTTGGCTAGATTACCACTATAAGAGGCTTTAAGTCTAAGAGGCCGTCATTGATGCTACTACGTTCGAACGCCCTATTATCCCGCTTGACCGCGGGATATTTGCAAATGGCCCCAGAGAGGGAACCAGATAATAGCAATGATGGGCACTCGGATCGCGCACCCGCCGGAGACATAGTGAATAAGCTGACTCGCTGACACGATGCACTGGGGTCTCACGGGGTGGCTACAGCTTTCTCATTTCTTTTTCAGCCTTACTTGCCTCAAGACTAGCAGTGAGCTATGACAGCAACAATCAGTTGCCTTGGTCTGGCCAAGCACCAGACTCTAACGATGATATGTGTTTCTCATTTGTTCATGACGAGTGGCTTTCCATTGTAGGACGACATCGTCCCGGCGCATAGCAAACCGAACTGATTGATTCCAAGAATACCCACAGAGGCGGTGAAGGGAAGTAACGAAAATATCACGGATTCCAGAGTACTACGGCACATGCAGCACGTACATATGCTACTGCAGCGTAGGCGCTGAAGATGGAATTCGGGGTGACAGGGATTGAGGGAGATGGTCTCCATGCTACATGGCTGAAAGAAGGGTGAGGAAAACTTGGGGAAAATGGAAAAAAAACCGCCGCATCCACGCATGTATATTCATCAAAGTTTGATACGCTCGCTGCCATATAGCTCACGTCAATATAAACTCATGCATTTGAACAGAGAGGCACGTTTTTTTTTCTGTCTGCTCCCAGAGGCGCGACATTGTTGTACCCACCTACTTTACCCAGCGAGAGAACTAGACGCATCTACAGTACCTACTCAATCAGCAAAAGAAGAGTGCAGGTAGGAAGTCATTTGTACCTATTGTACAATACGTACAAGCTTACCACATTGAAGTACTGGAGTACCTATTTGAGTACTCGAGACGGAGTATAACGGCACAATTTCGCTTGTAACTAGCCGCAAGTGGAAGGCAATGCCGAAACAGACGACAGTTGGTACGCTGGGGCACAGGTGTCTATATGGTACACAATGTACGTCTACGCAATAATGAGGCACAATATTGAGGCACGTACATGTACCTTTCAAATATTGATATGTAGGTCCAATCGTGGAGCCGAGAGACATACCGGCAAATGTATTCAAATCAACCCTACAACCCTGGAAGTGCCACAGGCATTGCAGGTACATAATAGGTACCTAGGTACTCGAAGACAGGAAGAGGAGGAGGGGCAACAAGTCAGTGTATCCACTCACGTGACTCAGCCCTGTTCCCCCGCCATTCTCAAATTTTTGATGATGGATGGAGGGATGGATCAGGATGAATGAATGGGTGGATGGATACCGCAGGTAAGGAAGACCACTGACAGGGAGACAAAGAGGGGCAACTTGCCGAGCTCTGCAGATAATAAAAAGTACCTACCTAACCAAGTTACATTACTTTGGATGTATACTTTTGTCCTCCTATAGCCTACCGGCACTCAATACCGCTGCACCTCATCCTTAAGGACGCAAGCCATATCTCATCCCTGAGACCCCGATCGCCAGTGATTGATTCCAACCCCCAAGCCACGGGGTGTCGTCATCTGTTGCGCAGGACAGGACCAAGTATGGCCGGTCTCTCGAGAATACCTGGAGACGACAGTCTGTTCGTTGGAGGGTAACTACCAGTCTTTCTTGTTCGTCTCATCCTGCCTGGCTTACAAGAGTCGCTAACGCCGTCGGCAGCATCTGGGTCCTGAACATAGAGTCCTACAGGAACCAACTGTTGGAGAACAACATAACCCACATTCTCTCGGTGATAAAGTTCTCCTTTGAAAAATGGGGCGAGGAGGCCAAGCGCTTCACACACAAGAGCATCGACATAGACGATGATGAATCATCTGATCTTCTTGTCCACTTCCCTGCAGCCGTGCGCTTCATTGACAGTGGACTACAATCCGAGACGGCAGGAGACGAAGCTGCGTCAACGCCGGCCTCGGCTTCTTTACCTAAGCCTGGCGTCTACGTTCACTGTGCGATGGGCAAATCCCGCTCGGTGAGCTGCGTAGTTGCCTATCTCTTGTACAAGTATCCGCATCGCTTCGGCGGTAAGCAGTTTGTAGAATCTGCTGCGTCGGCCCAGCGACGCCGCGATACGGCCAAAGAAGCCGTTGAGGGCGCATTGAACTGCGTTCGTCAGGGCCGGCCCGGGGCGGAGCCAAATCCCGGCTTCATGCGCCAACTGGAGCTTTGGTGGGAGATGGGCTGTCCGGCCGGCGACGACGGTGCCGTCGAACGTCATCCTATATACCAGAAGTGGCTCTACGACGGGATGCTCCAGGAGGCTCGGGATATGAGGATGGCACCAGACGCCGACCAGATCCGATTCGAAGACGAGGTACGCGGGGAAGAGAAGGGACAGGAAAATGCTACAGTAGCACGGAGTGAAGAAGCGAAGGAAGTCCGCTGCAAGAAGTGCAGACGGACTCTTGCCACTCCCAATTTCCTCGTTTCCCACTCACCGACCGGACAATCTGCCAGTTCCAATTGCGCTCACATCTTCATCGATACCTTGTCCTGGATGCGACCCCTGCTTGAAGACGGTGCACTCGATGGTCGGCTGGTCTGTCCAAACTCTAAATGCGGTGCCACAGTCGGCCGCTTCGCATGGCAAGGGCTGCAGTGCACATGTAAGCAGTGGGTGGTGCCCGCATTCTCTTTAAACCGAAGTCGCGTGGACGAGGTGAATTCACGACCGGTTGGCTCTTCGGCAATCCGAATGCCTCCAGGAAGAAGTGGCAGCTTATAGGAGCTAGCTAATCCCTTGAGTGGACAATTATCCCTCCGACAATACTGGAAGTTGCCTCCGGTTGTCCGGTACCGCTCGCCACCAACAGCAATGTACCAATACAACCCACCAGACGATCGTTGGATTTTCTAAAAGTCGGCAATAATTTCGCGGATTGCAAGAGACAGTCACTGCGTGCATTATTCAGCAACAGTTTAGCAATACGCTTATTCCCCCCGGCTAAGCAAGTGCTACGATAGTAGAAAGTACGTTCATTCCCGACAAGGCAATGGATCGGTCCTATTAGGACTAAACCCCTTGGCCGCCCGCCCGCCCGCTCACCTATAATCGACGAGGATAATACGCAATGTACTGTACATAGTTGCCGCGGAGGAGCTGATTGCCTGTTTTGGTCAGGGATATCTATTCACCTCCCGCAGGCTGACGATGCATAACGGTTCCTACCCAGTATAACAACTTACACAAATGAGCGACGGGGTAAGAGGGGGGGAAGAAAAAGTCGAGGATGCGCCGCCCTGTGGGAAACCGTCATGAGCGCATTTCCCTAGGCGTGATATCAAATCATGGTTTGTGTCGATCTAGCTCATTTTGTTTTCTGTCGCTGGTAATGGGAACACATAACACTTTAGCATATTGACGGAATCTATCGGCCGAGAACCGTTAAACGACCCTGGAGATCAATCCTTGATACTGTCATCCTACGGCTTATAGGCACGATTGTCAGCCAACTCTGGACCTTTCGGTCAGCTTGTACTAGTACACACCAAACAGATCGATGTGGAAACGAGAAGCGGAAAGCGTAATCTTGTTCCTAAGTTACCCATACCTCCTACAATTCAACGCAGTTTGGTCTCCACCCTGTAGGGCTCTGGTCCCGTCATCATTTGATGCTACCGTCATACATACTATGTATACCAACTAGAGATCGTTCAGGCAATGACAAGAGGCCTGTCAATTCCTCAGGATGAATACCTGCCTGTCCCCAGTCTCCCCGTAGGCATCTTCGGCCACAGATCAGAAGGATGAACTACACCGGGCTTTGAAAACCATACCCCGAGATTCTATCCTCGCTGCTCTACCTATACGTGTACCCTTCTTGACTAGGGTTGCCAGAACGGAAGTGTATCCCTTTGGCCGGGAGTGCAGTTGCAGGGGGGAAGAAGACCACAAAAGACACGGCATGCCCGAATGCGCGCGTCCTGTCTGTCATGCATATCATGGGATGCGGTTTTGCTTCCTACATACTGCAGTGCAGTGCAGTCATCTGTTATATGTACATACCTGCATATCTGTACTCTTTACCGCATCGCTTATCCCGGTAGAGTACTGGAAGGAAAACACGCAAAACATACATGCATAGCTATAGTATTTAATTGCACGAGACAATTTGATAGATGCGCAGCGGACGTAGATGAGGCGATGGAGAGCATACGATACATCCATGTATACATAGGTAATGAGTAGATAGTAGACATCTAGGTATAGACTCCTACGGGTTTAACCGTGGCGCAGTTCGTCTTTGGATTTCTTTCTTATTTCGTCACCTTTCCCACTATTTTGTAAGTACGGAGTGCTGTAAGTATGTGGAAATGGAAAAGGGGGAGGAGGAGCGGAGCGGAATGTTACCAAGCCCCGTGACGCGGGTTCACTGAGCGGACAGCTAGGTACATACCTACCTACCTGACATACTTAAGTAGGAGTCGCTGTAACGCGCAATCACTAGAAAAATAACGTTACGTAGGTATCTGGCGTCATGTTTCCCTCTCGGTTTCCGGGACAGAAGATAACGAGATTGTGCCGCAGTTGCGGCGGTGCAGTCTTCGTCGCCGCACGCACCTGAAACACGCGAGGGAAATGGGGATTATCGATCTACCTATTCTCACTCTTCATCATGTTCTAAGTATATCTACTTACTTACTTGTTGTAATTGAGTTAGTGAAACGAAAAGAAAGAAAATACTCGTATGGTGATCTGTTGATTGGAATAGGTACCGTAAGTAGGTCATCGAGAGGGACCTGAGTTGGACTCGGGCTCCGAGAAGGATCTGCACATTACATGTGCTGCAGCTATTTTCGGTGTAAGAGAGGGTATCCGTTCACTCATTCACTCAGTTATTTACGCGTGTCTATGTATACGAATGTATTCTGTGTAGGAGGGAAGAGGCGAAGCATGACCTTTCTTCTTCGTTCTGCTCTTGAGTTATACTATTTCGACTTTGAGGTTATTCGAACCTAGGTAAGGTTCGTATAAGTCGCCTACGCGGGTTTCAAACGTAACAGGTTACCTTAATTAATTACCGAGAGTGACCCCAACAGTCCAGAATAATACATTGTTCCAACAATTCTCCCCTCCCCCGCTTTCCCCCCCCCCCCTCACTAAAAAGAACCGGCTAGGTAAGTACTTAGCTCGTGGAGGTGAAAGGTACCTAGGTATGTTATATTGGCGCTCTTTTATTAAGTACCCCGACCTAAAATCCTAGCGACTTTTTCTAGAATAACCTGAGACGACCTGGAAGGAAGGAAGGGGAAGAAAAGAAGGGGGGAAAAGAGGTAAAACAATACCAAAAAAACGTTCTATTTAGGCCCCCCCGCCCTACACTAGCGTAGGCTTCATATCCCGGGACTAAGGCTGCTTGAATGTAACACGCCACATCCTACGCTGGCTGCAATGTACTTGTACTTTACACCACCACTACCGACCATCGTGTATGTCACACGTGTATATGCTCTTTCTTTTTACCCTTTTTATGTCTTTGCTTTTTCCTTGGCCTTATAGATGGAGTAACTAGGACCAGGCAAGATCAATCAAGATCAAGGTGGGATGAAATACCTACACTACGTAGGTGCTATCTTGGTAATCGGTGGAGAGAGAGAGAGAGGTGTGGCACACTTTCTCTTACCAACTGAGTGGTAACGCTGTCGCATTTTTGTTGTTTTAGCGGGACCCAGGTCCTTGTTTAGATTACATAGCTCGATCGTTAGCTGTGTATGCGCACGACATCTCGACTTCGCATTGCGTAGGTCTCAACTGGCTTTGTTAGCCCGGCATGATATAGACAGATAGGTAGATCAATAACTCTATTTCTATCCCCATCCCTGACTGGTATAGGTGAGAATGCTGTATGTTATGTATCTACGTAGGCAACTGCATGTGTAGTGATCGACAGGCAAGTAATGCGACTTTGTCGCTAGCTACGTCAGAGTAGCTACAAGGTATCAATTGCGCGAAACCTTGGACAAGCACTTTAGGGGCACGGAAACAGCACCAACAAAACTATTATATTATTGCAATACGTAATGCATGAAAAATGGCTCGATTGCGACATACTTGTAGTAGTATAGGTATGAGGTATGTTGGTATGAGGGTTCAGGGTAAGGGTTATCTCCTCTAGCATTGACGGAATCAGGTTGCCGCCGCCGCGGGTTGCTTGGAATCCCCCACGACGGGAATAGTATTTGTCATTTCTCCCACTCGCAAAAGGTTCCAACAATTAAGGTGACTCCTGTGTAGACAGCATGAACTATAGCTACTTCGTTATGCCGCGGCTAGCATGATTTTACCCTAGTATGCTTTCTCCGATGGGTGGCAGTCTAGTCTAAGGGGTGGCGCGATACATATCTTGGCCAGGGGTTGGCTAAGGAACTTTTTTCAACACACGATTGCGCTTAAGCCTATTATAATCGATAGAAAAGAGGAGTGCAGCCAATATCAAGGGCACATAGCGGCGGTGTTACAAAGTTCCTCTGATGAAGAGGTGAAGGAAATATCAAAAGTACATAACTAGAAGAAGAGGAATTATATCAGATTGCAGCTTAGACTACTGTGTGGGTTAGATGTAAACTGGGCCCAAAGGTATGTGCAGAGAAGACCGGTGACAATTATCATGATACAAGCCGCGACTTCGCGTACATATGTATATGTATATACAATTATCGGCCTCACTTCCAAGCACACTATAAATCTCTGATACCTTGAGACCAGGTAGCATCATTCTATGACGCAGTTGTTTATATGCCTACTCAAAGCAGACAGATATGCATATCTCTCTACTAGGTACTTAAGGTCATACGTCACTCCAATTATTCAGATATCTCGCATATGCACCCGCCACAGACGTGCCGGCGGTGAACCAACGACAGACACCCCATCTCCGGCCGAGAGAAAAAAAAAAGATATGGCCTGTCCGCTCAACAGCGGCCCGCCGCCGAGCAGTATGATCCAAGCTACCGGAGATTTGCGCTCGGTATGCGTGCAACACGCGCGGTAACCGACTGAAACCAGCGGGGTCTGCTCTACTCTATCCGGTCCCAGACCTACCCTGACATCCACCGAGTTATATCTCGTCGATATTATTGCATCTAGCTACCGTATCTATGTGCTGCTTGTCTGTCTTGCATGCATCATGTACGTGCTGTACATTAATTACTTAGTTAAGTAATAGATGGCTAGCCATCTGCTGTATATTTCAAGCGCTATAGCCCACAAAGTTACATACTTACTTGAGTAGTTACTTGCTTACATGTAAGCCAATCACCTACCGTCCCAGCTCCTAGCATCAGCTTCCGATCACGAGAGGAGTACTAATAGGTATCGTAGACCGACTAGGTATATAATATATATGACTGGGGTGCACTTCAGTCTTACATCATAAAACTGGTTAACCTACATAGTACCGTAACGTCCACCGACGTGTGGGTAATATGTATGCAGACCTGCGGCGGCACGCTCCTAACAGATAGACAACTTGAGAAATTCAGTGTAGGCACAGTACTTATAGCAAAGGAACATACGATTTTGACATGGCAGGCGGGCGATGTGGGTGGATGATACATGCAGGGAAAGTAACATGTACATACATGTATGTACGTGACATGCCAGATTCGACAGAGCGGTGTCAAACGCTCATCACTCGCGACACAATTCCCCGAAACTAAGGCAGGTTCCCGCGAGTCTGGTAATCGGGGGCGTGTCTCGATGAAAGAGAACTCCCTACTAAGCTTGAACAAGAAGGAGAGAAGGTCGCAAGTGTACTAGTACCGTCGAGGAGAACCATGGTTACCTGTATATGCATACCTGAGTGTGATGTTGGATGGATCCGCTTCGTATGGTACACGTGCAGATGCAGATGAGCTCTGATACTGAGTACAAGTATGGATACACTTACCTACCTGCCGGGTTGACAGATGCTCACACTATGCCACCGACAAAGGCTAATTAGCCGTAGATCATGTAATATCAGATACGCGTAGGGAATAGGTAATATGTAACTAGGTCGGTAGGTCGGTAGTCATCCGTAGGACTGATTAGTCCTAGTACTACCCAGCTGCGAGGATGCGAGATTGCAGTCAGACTCATTAACGCCGGGGTATACATCTTTTGGCTTACTTATTCAGGCGTACGAAACCAAGAGTGAGACTCGGAGTTTTCGTCAACCCATCGGATTTAGATAACTAGTAGGGGATCGATCCATATACGTGCCAAGAGCTAGGCTGAAAGGATCGTGTTCTGGCTTCTCGATCCAGGCAAGACATTCAGGGTCCAGCTTCGTACTAGGAGAAAAAGGGAGTATGAATCTAAAAGTCCCGCTTGTGTGATATATATCTGAAGCGCATATATATTGGCGTCGTAGAATATCACTTGTGTCCTTAAGTAGATGCCCTAAGTCTGTACCTAGGTGAGGAGGACTCTGGTCCCAGGTAATATCCAGAGGCATCCAACGAGGATAATCAGTACCATCAGCTGACACAGTTTGTGTGATCGTGTCAGCGGCCCATATCCACGGCGATACACGGCCATCTAGACCGAGATCGGTAAGGTAAGGTGTTTAAAACCCTTACACGAATGGCCAGTCTTGTGCATCTTGAAGGGCTGTCAATCTCGCCGGCCGATCCAATCAGGACACCCCGAATAATAAAAAGTCCTCCCCTTCGCCGTTTTATACCTTGGCGTTCGGCGTATTAGTAAGGAGACGGGACAGAATGGTCTGCCGAAGGCAAAAAGAGGGTCATTCGGTTGCAGCGCCCTTTGATTGACTTCGGCCTATTATCGCCCGAGATTCGTTCGCCTCGTTATGAAGCTACATTCCTCCCATATCCCTCATGGGAAAGGAATCTGACAGGTCTAGGCGAGGCTTGCATACATAGTATGCGATCAAGGTCATACCCCGTGGATGGTATCATCCAATGACGGTATCAAGAAAGTCATATGCTTGTTGATGTGTCGACAGCTCGATTCATTAGCACGCCCATGGAGATCTGCCGCCAGCCAGTCAAGTGCCAACTAAGTAGCCGAAAAGCCCGAGCAGTAATTTGGATATAAACCGAGTGCTCGGCAGTAGATCTGCCCTTGCATTCGGACCCACCAGTCAAGACTTGAGATGGTTTGATGGCGTCAGACTGATTCCTGGCATGGCGGTGCTTTTGTGGCTTCTTCGTGCTGCTTGGTGGCAATTGGAGAGATGACGGAGCGGAGTCTCCAAAATTTGAAGCTCTGCTCCTTCGTCCCGCGCTTTGCGACGTCGTAGGTATATGGAATCAAGCGACCGGTTAGAAAATCTGTCAGAAGGAAAGAAATCCTTTTCATGCGGTCCGGGCCTTCCGGTACCACAAGGACGAGATCTACGGACGTAGCTTGCCAGTCCAGCTTCTGGAGATTACGTATTGCCTTTTGGGATAGGCTATCATCATTGAACGTTAATGGCGGGGGCCGGAAGACTACACACGGTGTAAGCCAAGTTGTCTCACCGTCATGAAAGCATTTCGCATTTCTGCCTCTCGACATCTCTAGTTCGGACTATGTTGAATCATGCTTGAAGAATTTAGTGTTATGAGATTGCCAGTAGGGAATTCAAACGCAGCCTTGTGAGCTCTGAAAAGGCCGGCCGATTCCTAGTCGGATAACAATGGAGCCTCGCAGCACGATACCGATCCCCCAACCCGGAGCTACCCTAGTCTTTGCCCTATATAGACCGAAGGCATCCCGGTTTTGAAGTGGTGGAGCGCTCCGTGTCACAAGTATCGCCGCCGATATGGGATGTCAGCCTTCAAAGAGAATAGGGCCAATGATAATTGCGGTAATTGAAAAGAGGAGGAGGTGGGGAGGGTAGCTTACCAAGCGCAGGGCTACGCGTATGAATGGTTACATCGCATCCTTTTAAGGAGTGGCTGTACAGCACTTGCGAGAGCTGTGTGACGATAATACTGCTGCCGTTGCTGGCTTGATTCATCCGGCGGTGTACCGATACATGGATGAGCATAGAACCTACAGCGCGGTTTGTACTTCGACTTCGTCTACTCGTCGTGCAGCTGCTAGATACTTAGCATCCTACACGTCATTCTCCTCTCAGCATTTTCAATGGAAATCTGACACCTCCGATGTCATGTTGGGTCTCATTGCATCAGTAGCGAAACGGTGCAGGCACACCTGACGGTTGAATGAGCGACCATCTATACACCGCTGATGTTGCGAAAAATAGATATACATGAGAGAAGCGTCGTTATTGACAGGGCACGCTCTGTTACCCCAACCCAGAGCAGCTCTGGTCTCCATGCCGCGTCGGATGGCCAGCCAACGTATACGTTCCCCAAAGGCAAGAGACGCATGGAACCATGATACTGATGCCCGTTGGCTGGGCTTTTGGTGAATACAAGCACCCGACAATATAAGCATTGGTCGCTTCTTATAACTACCATCCATATAATACAGTACGTATAATTCATTCGGAGGCCGAGGGCCCATGGCGTGTTCGCAAACCGCCGACTTGAGTACTGCGCTGTTGATTGGGCCGGTGCGTATTGACGACGTCAGCACCGGGTTACGATCCGCCCCTCAGATCGTCCATTACATGGATTACCGAAAATGCGGGATGAGCCGGACCAATGTTCATATGAAGCAAAAAGTTAAGAGCCATGTCGACTGGGCAGCTGGTGCGGGGAGATGGCCAAGCGAGCTGAACATTAGTGGTTACCCAGGTAGGGAATCACAATGGCCAGGAGTACTATCGAGGTTCTTGATCCATTAAAGTATCGCCATGTTTCCAGCCCACAAAGAGAAGTATCTTCGACAAGGGACTACGCAGGATCCCATCCAGTATGCTATACCTATATAAAGAAATAAGGTGTGATATCATGGCCTCGGACGATACAGAGGCACCGTCTGAATCGCGTGACTACTAGCAAGCTTGAATAGCCTTACCATGGAAGGCAGGGAACAGGCCACTTTCAAGACAACGAACACATATACGAGAGTGAGGTGTTAGCCAGATCCGGATGCGGTTTGGGCAAGAGCTTGTTCAAGTCATATTCCATAAGGCTGATCGTCCTGTATGTATAGGGGGCTCGGGAGGTCTTGAAGGATTCGGCATTGGTTTGGTGTGGTATCTGCGAGTGATGTAAGTACCAATTAGGTACTACTTGTAGATCTGGTACGAACTGGAAACCTAGGTCAGCGATACTATTCACGGATTTACCACCCAACCCACTTGTAAGTCCGACTGCGACTCGAGGACAGTGAAGAGAGACGTACTTAGGTATGTGGACAGCCCCAATTCCCCATAACGACATGTTGCCCTACCTGACGATGTATCCCAGTCGGTTGGGGATAAGTGATCACAAGAACATGAGCTAATCTCAAGCGGACCGATATAGTCCACCATTCTTCTGGTTCTGGTCACTGACACGGCAGCTCAGGGTTCCATGAGACCTTCCTGTGCTGGTTCGTCGAGTGCTGACGCAGGTAAGCACTAAGCTCGTTGGGGTGGTAGATTTACTTGGTCTTTATCGAGGCAACGATTTTATACGACCGATGGTCATGAGGGGGTATACGCCTGCAGCGTGAGTCGCAGGGTGACGAATATAGATTGGGGGGTAGGACGAAATTAAGTCGAATCGTTCTGGTCGGTCTTCACTCGCCGAAACATCTAAACCTCAAGATCCAGCAGCAGAAAGGGGTGGTAGGGATAAGATACGTTATTTTCTAACTTCATTTGGATGAGGAAATGCATTGTACTTCACATTGCATGTCCCCGGTCCTTGTAGACCTTTCCATCCACACGAAGTATGAAGCACCACACCCATGTACATGTGGGTGGGTGTACAGCTAAGAAATAAGCAGTCGATAGAAACAACGTGCGTCTTGAAAGGAACCTCATAGACGACAACGTGAAATGGAGGGTATGCGAAACGTTATCCCCATACGTTGGTCGCAGTCGTATCTTCCTTGTAAGTTGTCCCCATGTCTTATAGTTGAAAATCTTATTGGAGACATGTGAATTCGTTGCTCAAAACAACAAGTTCGTGCAGACCCTGCCTGCGCTTGGCACCACACTGAGAGCAATTCATAGCGAGATATAAGATATCAGCAGGCGTGGATACCGAGGTCTGACAGCAGAGCGCAATATATGGTGTCGTGCCGTACGGCTATATGCACGCATCGCTGTTGTAAAGAACAACTACCAAATTTTTGAGGGTATGGAGGAGTCTCGCTGAGATTGATACTGCGCAGGAATTAGCGGAGACTCACTCGGATCCTAAGCGGTAGTGACATCTTTAGGGGCAGTTTACATCATCCAGAGGCAGACCCAAGAGACTTTTACGAGAATCAAGGCAAATCCTTGGGAACAGAGGGAAAGAAGTTGGGATTGCTCAAACGTTCCCTGTTCCTTTTTGCCATCTCAGCCTGGCGTTTCCGATCAAGTCTTCGTTGATAGAATACCCTAGCCAGTGTTAGTGCGGTCTTATATCGAGATTCGATGCCTAACCTCTGTAAAGCAAATATGCGAGGCTCCTCCTCGGCTTGCGGTGGACTCATGTCTTTCGACTTGCCCTTGAGTTCATTAGTCAACATATGCTTCTAAAGAGAGCTGACTCGGACCATACCTTATCATCTGCGGTCGAGGCTTCCTTCTTCTCACCTTTATCGGCATCCTTCTCCTTCTCATTCTCCTTGCTTTCTTGCTTGTCCTTCTCATTATCTTTATCTTTATCTTTTTCCTTCTCGGCCTCTTTCTCTTTCTTCTTACGCTGCTTCTCTTCGTACTCTTTCTTCAGCCTCTCGACCTCTTCGTCCATCTCTTTCTTTTTCTTGGCGGCGATGGCTTCATTATCAATGATGGGTGAGCAGAAACCCCGGTCCTTGAGATGAACGAGACACACGTAGAAGAAGTCCTGATGGGAGGGAGGCACATTAGTAAAGACAGCCCCCCTCAGCTACTAGTACCGAAGATGAGATGACTTCACAGCAACGGACCTGTTTATCGGGTGTGATGAGAACACTAGTACTTGGCTTATAGCATATCTCGCATGCTTTGGCAGAGGTATCGGCAACCTTGCGATGGTGCCATATATTGGGCAAGGACATGATTGATGAGATGGTATTAGATGCAGCCAGACGGCGAGTACGGTGCAGGTAGGTATGTACAGATGGATATCTAACTCTATGTAACAGTTCTTTGAGCGACTAGGTCGTTTAGTCTCAGTCGTGCAATTTTGGTAGTCGAAGAGAGTATCTCATCTCACAGACTCATGGCGATGTTTACTTCGTAAGGTCAGGCCTGTATCTAGATGCAGGTTGGGATGGGAGGCGGTGGCGCTGTGGCTTGCCGGACTGTCTATAGGTATAGACTATAGTAGGCCTTGTGGCTGAACACTCCCGGTGGTTTTAGCGGGGGTTTCCATTCTTGTATCCGCCTAATGTACCTACAACTTCAGCGCTATTTAGTGCTAAGCCAGGGTATATATGTACACTATACGTCACCTCCCAGACCTCCCTCACAGCGCGCGCGCAGGCGACAAGGACCCCAAGGCTGAACTCCAGATCCTGCAGCCTCTCCAAATCATTAATTAATTTATTTAGTTATTTATTTATTTATTTTCCCACAACACACCACAGCTAAAACGATCGCGATAACACCAGCGATAATCACGGAAGAGTAGTCTCACGTCGCTGGAGGCCTCGATTATCAAGGATTTGCAGACATTTATCTACCTAGTGCTTCGCTTCTTCATTTGTTCATTTATATATGAGTGCGACCGTCTTAGTATAACACCATGTCTTCGGGGCTCGATTCCCAGAAGTTAAGCCATGTATTTCAGTCGCGACCAGATATCGTACAAGGAATTCAGCAAGCTGCTGGTAGGCGGAAACCAGAATCTCTGTGGTACGCGTATGCGCATTAACTAACAATATCTTCCAATAGACTCCCCATCTCGAATAAAGCTCTTTAACAACATTGTTGGTTTCGTGTACGAGCAGCTCAATGGCGTACAATCCGAAGAGCCCGCCCAAAAACGCCGACGCGTCGATATTGAGCCGTCGCAAAATGGCCATCCCTCACAATCCGACGGCGTAACGGCACCTTCCCCTGACAGTGTCTCAAACGAGGACGTCCTGCTAGAGATAAAGGATATATCTGTCTCCATACCACAACGCAAGAAGTTCGATTTATGTTTCACCGCCAGTCATCTATATGCCCGTGCCCCTGGAACAAAGGCGCCTGTCCCTAACATAATATTCCCATGGAAGAGCATAGGTAGGTTTTGATGTACAAAGACCTCCAACAACTAGAATAGGTTACTAATGCCGAGATTACTTACCGCCAGAGTATGCTTTCTTCCTCCGGGTTCCTGAAAAGTCCCAGATACAGCACAACTATGTTATTCTCCCACAAAACTCATATTTCCCTTCCCAAACCGCTACTGCTAGTGTTGACCCCCTTGTCTTCACGATACCAGCAACAGCACCGAAGCCTGGGTCCATCGGTGGGCCGAATGCTGACGCGGCATCTTCCGTGGCCGACTCGTACTCAACTCTGTTTCACTGGGCAATCAACAAGTGCCTCCAAGCCGGAGGCAAACAAGTGCAGATTGTCGCTGCCGATCCCGCTAAGTTCCACAGTGTCATACGCCAACCTCACAGGCCTAAAGAGCAAGCTGTGCATGTTAAGGCCTTTCGAGGTTCCAAAGATGGCTATCTCTTCTTTTTGGAAAACGGCATCTTGTGGGGTTTCAAGAAGCCTTTAATGTTTCTACCGCTCGACAAGATCGCAGCTGTTAGCTACACCAATGTGTTACAGCGTACATTCAACATGGTCGTCGAGATTTTCACCGGGGAAGGAGGCGACGAGGAAGCTACAGAGGAAATTGAGTTTGCTATGCTAGATCAAGAAGATTATAACGGTATAAACGAGGACTATATTACTCGCCATAAACTCCAAGACCGAAGCTTGGCAGATCAACGAAAGGCAAAACGAGAATTAATCGAAAATACCAAAGGCAAAAAGGGGTCTGGGGAAGAGGCAGAGGATGGAAACGGTGCAGTGGGCGAGGACGGTATGACCGAACTACAGCGAGCTCAGTTGGAGGCTGAACAACAGCTGCAAGACGAAGAGGACGAAGATGAGGAGGACTACGATCCAGGATCGGATGAAGACTCTGACGGATCCGGCACGAGTTCAGACGACGATGATGATGACGACGCTGGTGACAATGACGAAGACGAAGCTGATGATAATGACGAATAGTCATCAAGCCATGTACCATAACGAACGTGTATGATAAGGGATTACTTGGGGACGCTACTGGTAGTTCCCTACTGTAAAAAGTAGAATCAGCCTGCCATATTTCGGTGTTTACCATGGGTAGACATGAGAATCGATCAACAACAGGTAACGCAAGGTCATTAACTACATCAAGGCAGATATGCCTGTCATGCTAAAGCTTATTCGGTCCGTTATATGGTGGATTACATGTACACATACGTCAATTTACACTTATGCGTGCTTCAATTACATCACATCGCTAGTTGTGTACAATGATCCAGTCACCTAGGTATATATCGCAACCGAGCACAGCCAACTGCCTGTTTAGAATCTTTTTTTCCGGGCAATGGGGACCAGGGCCAACTTGTCCAGAGGTCGAGGGGTTATCCTTAATTGTAGTGGGCAAGTGTAAGGACAGGTCCATCACTTTCGTGATCTTTCGTGAATCTCACATATAGCCTGCTAAGACAGACTGTACCTCCACGGGATATTAAAGAGGGAACAGTCTCGAATTTCACTTGTTTCCGCTACGAACGAGACGATGGTGCAACAACTCATCATAGAGTATAGGAGAACAAGATCATGGTATCTCCTGAAATGTATCGAGTAAAATGTAACAGATAATTGGGCAGATCCATCACTGGTGCTTACCCAGCTGCAACCTTCGCCAGATATATATTTATCTAGAAGTGAGCTGATAGCAACATAATATCGCGGTTCAAGTAGTCATTGATTGAGTATAATTGCTATCTTCCAAGAGGTCATCTAATGTGTCCCATCCCTTAGGAACGGCAAATTGCTTCTGTGAGATCCTAGGTTACACTGTAGCACATAATGCATTCGTGTCATTTCTGTTACCGGGGCACAATCATCTGACGGCGATCTCGTTCGGCGAAATTCTTGATCTGATCCAACCCAGACCACACATGTTCGTTTCTGTCAAGATTAAGATTAACAGCGTAACCCGCTGTCACTTCAATGCCCGAGACACGGTCCTACGGGAGCAACCGAGAAATCAGACATGTGGCTAAGCGTGTATTCGCCGTCTGTATACAGGATTCATGATTAGTATCCGGTGTTTGCAGCAAAGCGAGAAACGAGCATGCACGGAATTAACATAAGAACCTTACATTATCACCTAAGAGGCTCGTGACTTGGAAGCAATTTGCCACTAGAATCTCTAGAGTCTAGAGTCTAGAGATTATTATGCCAAATGGTAGGAGTCTCAATACAGCACTTTTTCTTTCTCGAGTCTATGCGTGGCTGTAGCTTACCACAGTTAATATTTAAGGCACCATTATATGTCTTAGACTGGCTTCACCATGCCACCAACCCATCAATGAACACTTTTGAAAATGTTCGATCCAATGTTTGGTGGTACCTTGTTACACTTATTTAACGATTGTGCGAGCCGAGACGTTCACAAATATGTGATTGTAGCTCAGCGTAGTCTCATGGCGCGGAAGGACCTTTAACAAGTCGATACTTGCTGTACCACGAGCTCATCATGACAAGGACAACAAAATGAGCAGCTTTATCTTATGACGATGGAATTCATTTTCAACCATTTGCGGATCTTGGGTCCCATTTACTTCAAGGGACACATCGCGGCATTCTTGAGCCGGAAAGTGCAACGATACACTCACAACAGCCGTTCGCCCGCCTTTTAAAGGGGCCCTTAATGCTCCAGAAAATAGTCAGGAGGCCTAATTGAATCCCATAACATAGTGTTTTCCTCTCATCTTTGCATCTCTATACACATAGCACGAAAATGATATTCGTTCTATTTCTAGCGTTCGCAGCTCTCGGCATTGCTGCTCGAAATGGAGGCCGCAGCTTACGGCTACCCATAAGAAGCAGAGACTCATCGACTTTGGAAACTCGGGATGGCCAAGACTATGGGATTGAGCCACTGAAGGCCAATGCTACTCAGAAGCATTATCTAAGTCCCTACACTGTTGAGCGTATGTACACATTTCCTTATGACTGTTTCGCCCGTTTTAACTTTGCTTATGCAAGTCACTATCGGCACACCGCCACAACACGTCTATCCTGCTATCGACCTCTTTGGCACCAGTGTTTGGGTGAACCCCGACTGCTTCGCGGCTTATGACTACGAAGCCTGTTGTAAAAACGGGGAATATAATTCAGCTGCTTCTTCCTCGGCAATATTGCAGGATTGTAGCCAGTCATGGAGTTTCGTCACCCCCTATGGTGAAGCTGCAGGATGTAATGTCATTGACATCGTTCAATTCGCCGGTATGTTTGCTCTCTGGTAACTCTCTTGACTATGTATGTTATACTTACCACCAATCTACACCGATAGGGGCCGAGCTAGGATACATTCTATTTGGCGTAGCAAATTCAAGTTGGAAACAGACGGCTGGTCGACTGGGTCTGGGATTTGGCTGCGATAGCGGAGACCATACGTCAATTTTAGATCGTTTGAAGGCTCTAGACCTGATTGCTACCCGCCAGTTCAGTATAGCTCTCGGTAGCGCCAATCCGAATTCTGAGGATTTGGACGAGTCTACAGATGTGGATGTTGGCTTAGGAGAGCTTCTCTTCTCAGGCATCAACACGCGGAAATATACGGGTGATCTCCGAAAACTACGTTCACATCCAGCTCCCAATGATGATCCAAGGTAAGTCAGCTTTGGATTTCTTTAGTTGAGATGATCGAAATAGGCTGACTTTGGCATGAACTAGATACTATATAACCCTAACTTCCATAGGCTACTCAAATCCGTCCAATTGTGAATCATTCGACGGTTTCCCACCACCGCGCCATGCCTTCTTGGACTACACCACCATCTTCACTTATTTTCCGTCTGAGTACATCGACATGCTCAATGGATTCTTCCCTTATGTTTATTACAATATAACTTCTGGGTTATATCAAGTACCATGCTACCACCGATCCCTAGCTGCCTCCGTAGACTTCTCCTTTGGCTCTCTTATTATCAGCGTCCCACTACATGATTTCATCTTACAAGTGGATGGGATCTGTTTCCTAGGAGTACAGCAAAGCGTAACAGATGATGAAGTGATTTTGGGCCAAAGTTTTCTTAGGGGCGCATACAGTAAGGTTTCAAAAGCACACTCTCTTGTTTCAATCGGTTGCTAAGTTGAACATAGCCGCGTTCGATCTAGATGATGAAGCCATGTATATGGCCCAATATGAGAATTGTGGTGATGAAGTCATCGACTGGGATGAGTCGGCGTCAGAGGAAGATGGGCTGTGTGCCGGGAAGCCTACGACCTTTCCGGCCTCTTGTTATGCAACTTCGACAACGAGCACTAGTTCTGCTTCTTCTTCTACTTCTACGTCGTGCTCGACGACTTCAACGTCATCGTCAACGCACTCAACCACAAGACATTCAACCAAGTCGACGACTCACTCAACTACTTCAACAAGTCATTCTACAACTCACTATCCTACTCGCACCTCGACCCATTCCACAACCAGCTCGACTACGACTTCAAGAACGACCAGTTCAAAGACGACGAGCACCAGCAAGACTTCGACACATTATAGCACCCGAACAACAACCTCGTCTTCTAGCACACGCCATTCGACAAAAACAACGTCTTCGAAGAAAACGAGTTACACCCGATCCTCACTCTCCACCGGAACGGGATACCCGACGACAATAACGACAACAACATCGACATCCCCATGGTCATCAGGATTATCATCAGGCGTCAGCGTCGGCTCATCGACATTCTGGACACCAGGTTACAGCACAGGGGTATCATGGAGTAACATCTCATTCACTGCCACGCCAGGGAGTACGTACAGGACTCCAACAGGACCTTCGTCGCCGTCGACCTTTGTCCCGACCACAGACTACGCTACCGAGACGTCGACAGTAACCTCCATCCCAGCGTCGACAAGCCACCAGCACCGATCGAGCACGATCGGAAGCAGCACGCCTTCTATCTCGATAGAGGATTCGGCTGAGCAGAAGACGGTCACGGTGACTGTGGGTGTGCTCACTTCTACCGTTTACATGCCTAGTCCCATTACAATTCCCATGAGCACATGCGATTGCACCGGGACGGTCATGCGTGGGGGTGAGGGAGGGGGTGGTGGCGTGGAAGGAGGAGTTTGAATTTTATGAAGCTGTCTTCATATAGAGTTGGGCAGACAATTGTATTGGGGCACAGCGAGACTCACGCTGATTCGGCCATGGTGTCGGGCTGTCGGTAATTTGAGAAGAACCCGGCGAGCCGACGACCACGGTAGGGGCCGGAAACCTAATTTTTCCGAATTACTTACTCCAAATTCTTGTTACATCATTAAAATGTCACATTCGCGCGAGTAGATTCCTGGGCGGGTTTACTCTACTTTGTTAATGGAGGATTGAGTCTGGGAATTAAGGACTTTGACACGGCAGCTAGCACTTCTAAAGAATTTCCTTTGTTAGTACGAATTCAATTCTCTTCTAGTAGCTTAATTAGTGCTGGCACTTGACATGATAGCTGCATTACTTATAACTGCAAGGACTCTACCTATTTTGATAATCCAGCATATTTATACATTTAAGCTAGTCTCGACGGCTCCATAGTAGCCGAGTCGTGAACAGCTCGCGGCGGTACTAATACTTATGTATAATAGTGAATAACTTTTAGTCCCTTTATTCAAACTCTCTTAGCTCGTCGCATCATTCTCCTTAGTCAAATGACTAAGTGAAGCGGATGTCTTAGCGACTAAGAGGTTGAGTTTAATCATCGGCACTGCAACCCGCCCGCTGTCGTTCCGGATACGAAATTATACGAACTATACGAGCCCCCCTCCATTGCTCGTTCTTGGCTCGCGATTCTTTCAGCTTCGACTTGACATATGAACAGTTTATCTGCGAAAACGAGGGAGACGAGATCTAAGAGATAGATAACTGTGAATTCCATACTAGAGCCACCATCTTACTCCGTCCTAGTCGCGACAGTTTTCTATACACGCATAGGCTCTGTATCTGGTCTGTATAGAGGTCGAGGTTCTATATGTCCATCACTTAATATTGGCTTAGGTACCGTGCCACGCCTGATGTATATTTGTAACCCGAACCCACGTAGTACACGAATGATTTACGTATGAATGTCCGTAGATCAGTCGACTCGATTTGAATCAGCAACCGACCTCTAGTGTTGTTTTTACACTACCTAGCCTAGCGGCAGATCTTGCGATACCTAGTGCGATATATACCCGGGGCACTGAGTTTGAAGTCTCGCCTACCACCCGAGCCACCCTCGGCGTCACCAATCACGCAATTCGGATTTACCCCTACCTTCCAAAACAGCAGGTTAGATATGTAGGGATCTAATCTATTGGACTACTTTCCCTCATCGCCGTTGCACTCGGCTACCTACTGGACACTGCCGGGTGGCACGGATGGTGTTAGTCCCGCCCCCGCTATGCAGAGTGAATGCGTGGTGAGAGATGTGCGTCGTTTGACGTCGTATTCGCGAATCACATCGTTGCGAATACCGTCGTAACACTTTTATGCTAGAGTTATGCAGCCTAGAAGACTTGCAACGCGTCCACGACAGGAATGCCTTCTTATCAGCTCAATTTGAAATGGTTCCAGCTACATTCAATAGGCACGAGGCCTGACAATGTTGTCTCCACAACCAGCCGGCCCTAGTGCCGTGCCGTACACGTGGGCACGTTGTGATGACGACCTTATATCGGTATATAGGGATCCGAAGGGTTAGTTATGCTTCCCCGAATAAATAATGCTGCTGTGTATGAATATTCAGCCCATTACTTATATATGCTGGATCCGGCTATCTTCCCACCCTCAGCTCAAAGCTGAAGAGTGTACACTACGAAGCACTCGACTCTCCGACGTTTTGTGTCCATTCACCCAGGAGACATGGAGGCGATACGGAAATTTTCCCTAGCCACAGGGGTTCCTGTGACTGTGCAGGTAATCGGCGCCGTCATTTTGCTCACCATCGCGCACTCCTACATTACCAAACGAAGACCCTGGGCCGGTTTCCCTCTTATAAGTGTGCGTGGAAAAGGACCGCGGTCGAGCTGGAGGTCTCATGGCCATGAGGTTCTGAAGGAAGGTGTCAAGAAGGTATATCGACTATAATGAGAAACCCTACATGCCTAAGACATGAAAGCTAAGTCTTAGCTAGACAAATGGACCTTTCCAGATCATGACAGGTACTGGACCCAAGCTCGTCTTGCCCAACAGATACGCCGACGAGCTTCGCAACGCACCAGAGCTCAACTTTTCCAAGGCTTTTGAAGATGTAAGGCCGCCTTTTTATCAGTATATACTCTCTGTGATTCGATTAGTCGCACTGACCAGGTTAGGATTTCTTCCCAAACTACCCGGGCTTTGAACCCCACAAACAGTCCTTCCACAACGACGTTATCAAGGATACCGTCCGTATCAAGCTAACACAGTCGCTGGGCTTGGTGACCAGTGATCTTGTCGAGGAAACACGGCTTGTCGTGGATGATGTATACGGACAGGATGAGGGGTGGGCTACGAGAAAGATCAGAGAGGATTTGCTCCAGATTGTTGCACGCGTGTCCTCGCGGGTATTTCTGGGCGAGCAGCTATGCCGAAACCAAAGATGGCTTGACATCTCGAAGACCTTCACCGTGGACACCTTTGTACTGTCGCATCTTATGCGTATGGTGCCCGCCATTGCGCGACCTTTCGTGTACCTAGTGCTGCCCCATTCTGGGAGACTCCGGGGAGCAGTGCGAGATGCCTATAAGATGATCCATCCAGAAGTCCTGAAGCGAAAGGCAGCCGTTGACGAAGCTAAGGCGGCGGGTCTGAAGCCGCCCAAGGTTGCCGATACCCTCGGTTGGATGTACGAAGTGGCAAAGGGCGAGGATCTGAATTTCGCCTACGGCCAGCTCACGCTGACTATGGCTGCTATTCACACGACGACTGAATCGGCGGGCCGTGCTCTGCTTGATATCTGCAAATATCCTGAGATTGCACAGCAACTGCGTGATGAGATCATCGACGTGGTAGGCCGGGAAGGCTGGGCGAAGACAACCTTATATAAGCTCAAGTTGATGGACAGTTTCCTGAAAGAAAGCCAGAGAGTCACACCCTTAGCGATCAGTAAGTAGAAGGACTGTCCCCGCTAATAGTTTTTCAATCTATTACAATATACTGACCTTGAAAGCGTCCATGAACCGCTTCGTTGAGAGACCCTTAACGCTCTCCGACGGCGTCACACTACCCAAAGGCGCCAAAATCACGGTGATAGGCGACTTTTCGAATCCAGATGTCTACCCAGAGCCTGAGAAATTTGACCCCGCACGCTTCCTAAAGAAGCGCCAGGAGCCCGGTCAAGAGCACGGCTGGCAGTTCGTCACGACGAGCGCGGCGCACATGAACTTCGGACACGGCGAACACGCGTGCCCGGGCCGCTTCTTCGCCTCTAACGAGATCAAGATCATTCTCTGCCACATGCTGATGAAGTTCGACTGGCGCTTCGTCCCTAACGAACCTGAGCCCGAGCCTCAGATCTTCGAGTCCACCATGGCCGTCAAAGCCGATACACAGATCCAGGCTCGGCGTAGGAAACCTGAGCTCGACCTTGACAACCTATGAAGGAGTTAAAGAAGAGCAAGTCTCTGTTTCCTTTCTAAGCTGTCGTTTTAGTACGCGTGTAAGGCCAATTGAATTGTACTTGTAAATGTTCTCCAGATAGTCAACCACGCATCATGTCCAAGTTGGATCTGAATCCTTCCCAACTTACCGGTACTATATGTCGGCCGAGAAAAAAGTTCGTGATTCGAAACGGTCGCCACGTAAGGTCTGAGCTTCTTTAATTTCAACAGCAGCTGAAGGTAGATATCTTGTCCTCGTGCCCTGAAATCTCTTTAACCGTGTGGAGAGCACTATACCCAACTCCATACAAACACTTATCCTTATTGCTTTTTCCTGACCCGACCAGCAGGGTCGAAGTCTCAACTGAAGGGCTGTACCGTTCAACCCCCGGACCAGGAGCACCGTCCGTCCGAGGACCCTTGTTGCTAAGCCGTATTCTACCGTATTTACGGACCTTTCCGAGCTTGCCCTGCGCTAGCTAGTAGGTATATGTATGGCAAAAAGGACCCTGCGTACGAGTAAGCTGAGGCTGAAGTACGCAGTTCGCCACTCGTAGAAACCAGCCTTTTGGAAGGATTTCTTCTTCCTACACTACTTTTCCTCTTCCAAGATAACTACCCTGCAATATGACGATAGTGATCCTTCCCACGTGCCATGATGGTGTCTGGTCCCCTGACATAGCATCCGACTAAGTATGCGGCGTCGACGCATGTCAGACCGGGATGGAACGCCCGCCAAGCCAATTACGAACCGGGGCCCATGAGCGGTGCGTTCCGAGAAATTGGTCACCAATACGCTGCTCAAGTGCGTCGTGGCAAGAATTTTGTGCCTATGCTCCCAGTATGGCCGGGTCTATGCTCGAAGTTGTCGTGAGGGCCAGATTCAGCTATTCCAGACGCCTTATCAATACAGTTCTTAACGTGTAAGTAGATAGGCAGTGAGTTGTGACGCGTAACGCGTGAGCCGAAGCGTGAGTAAGACCGGCAACGTACTGTGTTGCGGAGAGCTCTGCTGACACAGCAAATACTATACGGCAACAGCATTGGCATTAATTTCTTGGTGAGCCAAGTTTTCCATGAAATATGACGCTAACGCTTGCTTGGGGTTGAATCCTTCGCCATCTCCTACGGTCAATAGTGAGCTACACTAATAGACGAGGGCACGCTTTGCGGAATGGCTGGAACCCTACAGATCTTATCGTGACCATATCGCTGGGTTTTCAATTTTCTTTTGGCACAGTTCAATCATTCATTTATTACCAGTCTCAATTCCGGAGTAGTTTAGAACCATGAGGTAGCATTCAAGGCTTTCTTTATTCTCTTCGTTTGTGTTTTATTAGAAGTTTTTTTTTTCTTGTTATCTTACGGAATACTCGCGATAGGCTTACTGTCATTAGCCTGTGTGACTTGGCTATAGGGTCCAATTGCATTTATCAAATTACATGGGGGTCTAATCCTCGTCGATCATAGCCTAGAATAGACACAACCAGCGGCGCTTTTGAACTAAACGAGTTGCACAGATGGCTGCGGTGCTCTGTAGGACTGGTCTCCCGGACCAGTTTGCTTACCGAGGGGTTGATGGGAATCATATCCCTTTTTCAACAGCAGCCAAACGGTTTATTCAGTCGAGCAGGTGTGAATTGGTGAGCCCTATTGATCCAGACTTGGGTTTAGGATTGTTCAAGCGCATGCCAGTTAAGATGGTTCTTAGGGAGTGAGTAGCTCCCTCTTTGTGAAAGAGAATTGAGACGGGATTAGGCACATGTTGTAAAGTTGGATAAACAGACACTTACTGATCGCCTCAATTCCTAGATTTTCTATCAAGGAGACGGGAGCAGCCGAGACACGGTCGATCCCGCAATGGTCGACACAGCACTTTGAGGCTACTGGTCGGCCACTCCGCATCGCCATAGACCAGTCTAATTGGTGGTATCGAAACATCACCGCCGATAAGGAGGCTGAAATCAAGACAAGTATGCAATGAACTTCCAATGCCCAATTATTCAATTTCGCAATGATAGCGCACTCTACTAACATGGATACAGAAATTCCTGGTTCTCATCCTAGAGAAAAACGGATAAGTATGTTCACCACCGCTATCACCACCTCCAAATAATTCTCATCTTCATACACACCCAGCTATGATTCAAGGGCCAGTGAACATGAGAATCGCGATTGAACACCGGTTTGTTCCTTAAGTACTAACCACACTCATGACACAGTGGATCGGATATTCTATCTTTTACGGATGAACATACAGCTCATATTTGTCTTCGACGGGCCAAACAGGCCCCTAAAGAAGTGGCCAGTAGAATACAGCTACAGCGAGTCAAACATAAGGCTCCTCAAAGAGCTGCTCGACCAGCTCGGTGTTCCCCGGCACGACGCTCCTGGCGAAGCAGCAGCCGAGTGTGTCCGGTTGCAAGAGCTCGGGGTCATAGACGCCATCTGGACGGACAACACAGACGCCCTCATGTTCGGCGGCAGCCCTACGCTCGTGCAGTTCCACAAGAAGCCCGAAGGCGATCAGTTCAGGAACTCCAACACAGTCCTCGTGTCCTCGGCTGCACGCATAAAAGAGCGTGCCAATTTGACGCGAGAATGGTTCCTGATGTACGCCACGCTCGTGGGTTGCGGGTATACCAGTGGTTTAGACGGCTTCGACCCGACGCGCTTCTTCCACTTCGCGAAGCACTCGTGTTTCCAGGCCGCAGCCAACCTCCTCGCCGCCGCCGTGGAGACTCCCCTATTGCTGAGCAAATGGCGCCTCGTGGTAGCGGGGATCATCAACTCCACATTTCCCGAGGGCAACATCGCGCCGCCGCCGAAGTCGTTCCCTGACTTGAACGCATTGGAGGGCTGTGCTCACCCCGCCGTGTCGCCCGACGAGGTCCTCCGGGATCTGCCATGTCTGCGCGACGGCTGGTTCCGCTCATATAGTCAGGATATGGTGAGTCGGTACCGCTTCCTCCTGAACAACTTCAACACGCAGATCCACGAGAGCTGGGTAGCGCGAGATTTAGTCCCCATAGAGCTGAACCACCGGCTACGGGAGACGACCACGCCGGAGCAATCAAAAGTGACACCCTTTGGCATCGAGCCCCGGCCGAAGCGCAAAGACATCCTCGAAAGTCCCATCGTAGTAGATCCAGTAAGAGTGATACCCGAGTTATTGAGCGCATTCCCCTCGGAGATGTACCGCGTGATCAATGGCAAACGCGTCAAGATCGAGGCGCCCGTGTTCCGGCCGGAGGAAATCGAACTACTAGACTGCGTACTACGGCGCGGGCTCCCCGAGGCCAAAGTGCCCAAATACGCACCTCCCAAGATCTCCGTGGCAAAGCGCAAACCGCCCGCCGTGCCTCCCAAAAAGCCCGCCAACGAACGCACCAGGAGCCCCGTCTCACCGCTCGCAAAACGTGTCTTCACCCCCGAGCGGCCACAACCACAATCACAACCACACGCATTGCGGCCCAAGCCGAAGACAAAGCCATCCCTACAATCTCTACCCCCACTCAACACGCATCTCCCCGTCCCGATAGCGCTACGCGACGTCGACACGAGCAGCAGCCCGACATGCATCCATTTCCACGAGGACCTGACGCTGCCGGGCGAGCTAGACTGGCACAACCCGCCTCTATCATCCAGCCCGCCCATGACCAGCAGTCCGCTCTTGCAGCTACCCGTGAGTCGGCGCGCCGACGTGCTAGCGGGCAAGCTCTCGGGGCCCGGGGGCCGCAAGGCGAGCATAGCGCCGACGTCGCCGATTCCCATCATCAAGCAGCCGGCGTGGGACCACACGGCGGGGATCGACATAGGCGACCTATAACGACAACACAAAAAAATCCGTCCATCACGCATCTGATTTTCAAAGCGGCGCGGGGTAGGGGCTTATCACCCTCCATCACTATCAACATTTTCTTTTTTAATTCTTCATCATCATTACTTTGGGGAGGGGTTTTCTCGGTACCAACAACAAAAAACGACTGGGCTTTACATCTATCTTATTTGTTAATGTGGGATCGGAGCATAGGTATTTCATGCGTGCATGCATTCACACGGGGAACTTTTTATGGCATATACTAGATTAGATATACACTTCTGGACTTCCGAACTGCAAGACCACAGCTTACACTCGTTAATAATGTACAATATATAATATGTAGTAGTACCTAGATCGTGGTTCAAAAAGATACCCAATGCTATCGAGGAAACGAGCTATACAATTACTTCGTTTGGTTTCGTGGATACGTAGCTACCGTTCTAGCCTTATTGATGTTCCTGCCGTAGTCATAATTCTTGGCACGAATAGGTAAGTGTTACTTTATTTATGTAACTATAGGGAATCCTTTTTTTTTTCTTCCAGCAATTGAGTAGTCACAAAAATGCCACGATGTCACATACCAAAAAGAATTTGCTTCACTACCACTATAGGCGACGGTTCACTAGAAGCCGTTCGTTATCATCAACGCCCAATTTTGTGTAAGACGGTTCATAACATATATGAACCTACAGTCATGGACATAGTAGCTATCATGACATGCCAAATATATCAAGCAGAATAAAAAGATGCCGTTTCGCCTTTGCCCCTGGGTATCAAACATATGCGGTATAGCCCGTCCCCAATATTACATGAAAACAGTCCACGTCAGTGATGACGATTTATATGTCTTATAAACAAGAAGGGCCACCGTTTCTTTTGTACTAAACGCCATGCTAATGAAATCCCACCCTCGCATTCCTTTTCACTCCACGTTGATTTCATATCATTCTGTCGACGCACCAACGACTAGAGAGACGGCTACGTGAATACGTCGTCGTCGGCACTGTTCCATTCTGGGTCTGACTGTTCTGGAGAATCCAAGAAGTCGTCCTCATTATACTGACGTTCGGCTGGCCGTTGATTGTCAACTTGAATGTCGACAACATCGCAGAGACCGTGAATGAACGCGTCGCCTCGTAAGCCTGCTTCCTTAGCCGTCGCAGTCCTACCCCTTCTAGGAGGTGGACCAGTATGACCCAATGACAGCTCATCTTCACTACTATCTTCATCATCAGCATCGAATATAGGATTTGATTTGAGCGGCCTCAGCCTTCTTCCAGAGCGTCCTGGAGTGTATGCGTTGCCTTTGTTGTTCAAGCTCAGCTTGTTCAATGACAGCGGGGAGGGCTGATCAGCGAGTCTAGCACTTTGACGTTTTCCGGCTTTCGGCGTCTGAAGCTGGTTTGCTGTTTTGAGATGCCTCAGCGCCGGAAACTGACGCGAACTCTTAAGTTCCTTGGGAGGGGATGACTTCCTTTTGAAGACCTTTGTCATCTTGTTAGCCAAGGATCGTCTCATCTCCTGCCGCTGACGCCACTCGATGTTGAGAATAACCTTGAACTCCAAACGCCGAAGGTCGGGTAGCGACTTCGCATTCCGTATTAAGCTATTGAAGAACATCTCGGCAGCCTCGCGACTCCAGTTCCGCATATTGATGATCTCGATCGATTGGATAGAAGAGGGCCAGGTGGGGACATCATCTACCGCAAGAAGAGTGGCATACTCCGGCTTGTTATCTGCATACGATTCATGGTGTCTGAAATAAGACAGATCCACTTCTAGATGCTTGAGATTTGGACACGACGTGCCCAGCACAGGAAGAAACCCTAGGCTCAAAGACTGGCAGTATTTAAGCGTCAATTGCTCGAGAGAATTGCCATGTGATGCGAGATAAGCCGACATGCCCTCGCTAGTGATCTCCCAACAATTCACCAGTTCGAGATGGCTCAGTGTGTTCGGAAGAAGTTCCAATAAAGTGCCATTAGCTAATGTAGAGGACTCAATCACAAGGTGTTGCAGCTCGGGTAGGGCAGATATTGATGCGGCCAGGTGGGCAATAGCTTGTCTATCACTATCTTGAGCTTCCTGGCTCTGTCGGGCCCTGACAGCGAATCGAGTTGTAGATGGAAGCTGGTAGTTGACAAAGGCCACCTTGCGCAGACTCTGAAAAATAGAGAGCGCATGTATTTTCGGGAGGCAGTCTAGTGCGAGGTCTGTGGGAGCTAGCCGAGAGTTCCACCGCCAGCTCTTCAAAGCAGCTACCGTAGTCTTACTGCCATCAGAAGATTCACCTTCCGAGCCAGGGTCTAGCCCATCAAGCAGATCAGCCTTCGAAAATCTCCACCGCAGGTTAATATCAAGATCTCTATACGGAGGATCATCGGCAGGGTGGTGAAGCTCGAGACATGCTAGTCGAGGCAGGTGCTTAAGAACTTGCTTCAACTGCAATTGTTGCCCGTTGATCTTCTTTGTAAGAGTGGCGTCAACGTTGATACGTAGGATTTCGACCTTAGGCCGATATCGGATCAGCGTATTGGAGGGATCGAGTGCTAAGGTCTGGAGAAATTGTACGAACGAGGTTTGAGGCGACTTGCTGTATACTCTGTGGAATGGAGGACATTTGTATAGTGCAGCGAGAGCCGGTTCGGTGGTGGATCTGCAAGTTCGGGCTCCCGAGAGAAGCGTGTCTACCGCTTCAGCGAGGTCATCGATGCGCGAGGTAGGATTGCGGCAGGGCGTAGCAACATAGTTGAAAACACACAACCAGACATGATATGGAAGATGGTGCCAGTGGGGAGAATGATTCGGACAAGGGTCATCTACGTCTCCACTTGAGAGGCTTTGGGGAAGAGGAAGAGGGAGAGGAATGTGAGGTCGTTTTGTAGGGCTTGGTTTCGCACGCGACCCCTTAACTTTTTTTGCAGGCGATTCCATCGCGACGGTAGTGGACGACTTTCGCTTGGTTCGTAGGGGACGTAGGTTTCTGGTGGGGATGCGAGCGTCAGTTTCGGTCGAGGACGCAGACGTTTGCGTAGTGCTAGAAGCTGTGAAGTATGCAGCGGTCGCTCGAGTTTCTCGGGCAGGCGTCTTCATCTTTGCCCGTCTCGACGGGAGGTCCCGCGTGGGCCGCGGTCGCGGAGGAGGGCTGTCGCTGTCATCATCCATTGTAGGCGTTTTTGTGAGATCGACTCGTCACACAGCAAGGACGGCAGGGGGGCGGGTAACCAGAAGGAGGTATTACAAGGATAGGTCAATAGTACAGCTGCAGGCACGGTTACCGATACGGGCACCGACACGGGCTAGAATGGTAGAACAGCCGGGAACGATGGTCGCATCACAGCTTTGTCTTCCATGGGGACGGAGTTGAAGGCTAGGATGTGTGAGATATGGTGCTCTCAGCCGATATTTAAATCATTACAGCGGTACGTAGTATATAGCAGAGAGCCGCAGGGGTTTGAGGGGCTGATCAATCCAAAGGGCCATGCAAATTGGAATCCTCGCCTGTTCAAACTTTTGGGACTTTTGTTTTGATAAGGTTTGGGTTTCAGTCCGGACCTGCCACGGTAGGTAGCTCTACAATTTCCAATGACTATGACGACCGCTACCGGTCATAACTGCTGTTTGGCGGGGGCAGGTACCGGTACTATAGAAAGGTACTCGGGTATATAACTTAATTACTTACCTAAGTGCCGTGTACTCTGTACCTCAACCAGGTTAAAAGGGCCCGCTCATCAGCATGTCTCCATTAAATAAGCTTTACACCAGCTACCTAGCAGTACGCGGGAAACAACCAAAACAAAACAGCCTGTTATACTGGTATGCGTCTACATGGAAGGAACCTTAAAGTAAGTAGGTACCTTTAGTACTTAATAATGAGATGTACCTTATGAGGTGCTCGCGTCCTGGGTCATGCATGTATCTAGGTACTGTGTACCGGTATTTCCTCAAAGTCTACGGAAGTGTAAATACCTAGGATTCCGGATTCTCCAAGTTCAACAATTAGCACATATATAACCCCAAGGCTCCAGAGCACAGAGTATTTGGAAAGCCTGTATGTCCTACATGGTTCATTAATCTAGGTCATGACTCTTGGAAGGTGATTATTAAGGTTGAAGACATATGTACTTTCATCGAGTATATAGTTAAATAATTCAAAGCTGTTAAACATCTCCGGAGCATAGAGTAGGTATTTGGAAAGCCTGTATGAGGTCTTAAGTAAAGCTGGTAAACAGGAACTTGAAAAGGCACCTCGTTATATACTTGATTACCTCGGTAGATGATTAATCTATCTATTAATCCATAGTACCTTTCCAGACCCTAGAGGTCTACGTCAGTACTACTTATGTTTGACCCAAGCAATTGAGTAGTATACCATATATACTACCTATGTATGTCTCCGATGTCTGTAGAAGGGGAGTCTCAACACTCGTCAGGTAATTTATTCACCTTCTTTACCTAGGTATGCCTCACCTCTCAGCTGCCTCCGCTGTTTAGTTCATTTCACCCTGCTGTATTGATGGAAATGACAACAATCTACTTAGGTAGATTCTTCTGAAGTGGTCGATTGTATGTTGCCCAGTTTGCCCTACATATGTAGATGTGAGGTTCCACCTAACTGGTAAGCAAGAATAGCCAAGGTGGCCTGAGATGATGCAAATTCCATTGTCATTGGCCGTTGTTCCTTGTCTTCGCCGAGTTTGTCAACAACCTTGGAAGACCCATGTCGGTTCAAAGTGCGGTACACAAGCCACAGTAAGGTTCTCTTGTGTGTGTACATGTAAGGTGCATATATTTCGTACGCAGCAGGTAACAAGACATCAACAACAAGGATGGTTGAATCTTCCCATCAACCCAGCACCTCCACACCAAAAGTCACTTCCGTAGGCATCGCAAGATTCCAAGTTCGTTGATGGTCTCATTGATCACATAATAACTCCGGGCAATAAGTGGTGCATGACTTAGGTAGTACCTACATACGGAGTAGGTATATGTAGGAGGTACAGAGAGATTAGGTAAGTACCTCCTCGTTCAGCCCCAATTTTCAGCTCCGTCTCCGGCTCCAGCCACGCACCAGCCACTGGTCAGCCACGGATGTGCCACGGGTGCATGCACACTTGGCTTTCCCCATCTGCTGGCACCCGCATCTGCCAGCTGTCAGGTCTCTTTTCGCTCATTTCAGGTGCCCACTTGCATGTTGCCTGCTGCACAACAGGAAAGGAAGAACAACACCAACGCCGAAACGCGTCCGTCCCTCCGTTCACTTTCACTCTGAGCGAGCGAAGCGCATCCCCCGTACATATCCCATCCACCCCCATCTTATACTACTCCCCCCTTCATCGCCTGCCCGGTTTCCGCCTCCTTTATTTTGTGTGTTTTTCTCTTGTGAAACAGGTCATCTTCATATACCCCTTTCTTCTTCTTCTTCTTCTCCTTCTCCTTCTCTTCTTCGTAGTCTCTTGCCTAACTGTATAGTCCCTAAGCTTCCTTTTGTCCCTTCACGTGCCTCTCATCACCCATTCGAGGTATGTAGGTGCACTCACTTTCTCGGCGCATTTCACCCTTCTCATTCTCTCAACCTCCCCACAACAGAACTCCTACTCACAGTTTCAGTTTCACCAATCAACCATTCGCGCTCATTGGTTCCAATTGATCTGTGTCACACGGCTGGAACTCACTGCTGGTTGTAAAGCCGATCGCGTCGGGGTGCATCTGTCTCACTATGAGGCCAGACTCTTCATCGTAATACCTAATTGTTATGGACGTGGTCGCGGTGACGGGTTTCTATCACACACCCTTTCAGGCCCCGGGCTTCAAACCCCAAATTCGTTGCCAGATCAGGTAGCCGCAGAATCGTGGCGCGCTGCGCCCATGTTCTCTTCTAGAGATGGCGACCGTCTCTCCTTACAAACGCGACTCGCTTCCGTTTATTCACCGCGCTTGGAAGACAGCTGTCGATAATTTTCCGAGATACGGCGCTATGGGTATCAAGCTATCCACTGCAAATGGTGATACGTCTACCAATGGGGACCACCCTCCACGGCCCCTCAAGCGACGTCGTGTCGATGAGGCTTCTCCGGACACTGCTCGAGCCATGCCTGGCCGCCTTGTCCCAGCTGTTCCTGATGATGTCGACAAGACCCTTCGGATTGAAGTCCTTTCCATTACTCGTAGCAGCTCAAATCAAAGGTCAGCTAATCTGCACTATGGAAATGGGTCACCGGAAAAGAAGGACATTCCCGTCATCAAGGCCCGCTGTAGAGTCTTGGTTTGTGAGTGGGCCCCCGATATCTGCCGAGTACTGCATTGTGATAGTCAGATATGCAATTTCAAGGTTTTCCGCGACTCAGATGACGTTTGCCGAACTGCTAGAATCTATCTGCCAGCGCCGTTTCAGGTTCCAACGGAAAAGCTCTTAATCGAACGAGCTGGTCAGCCGGGTAATAATTTGGGTGACCAATATCTCATTAGGGTGGAAATTGAATCCGCCGGTGACCTGAAGTCCCCTTGGCCTCCTACAGATCTTCTGTCAAAACAGCAGGGCGCCAGCCTTGGGTTTGACGAATCGCGCCGGTGGATCCTATCATCTCAGATCATCTATGGGTTCGAGAAGGGAAGGGCATCTGGTGAGGTGAAATTACGAAAACTGAAAGAAGACTTTTCACTCGGCTTGACCATGGACATGGATTTGCGCTGGTCAACCCATGCGGCAGCTACCTCGGCGCGACTCGGGGAATCTGCCCCTCCGCCTGACGTTACGGCGAATCATACCAACGGGATCACCAACGGGGTCTTACAACCGTTGACCAATGGCCACGTGAATGGGAAGGTTGACGCTACTCTGTACGATCACCAAAAAGCAGAGAGTGAGAGGAATGGGGTGGCAGAGGATGAAGAAGAGCACGAGGAGGCGACCACGCCCAGTCGATCCTTGAGGACGAGGGAAAAACAGAATTATAACCTCAAACTCCTGAGCGATAAAGCTCGAGGAAAGGAACGCAAGGAAAAGAAGCGGCGCAAGTTAGCAACCCTAGAGAGGAAAGGCGGCGGTGTGACTTGGGCTGTTCCTCTGATAGGGGAGTTCACACTTGATAACTATCATTGTATTCGGTGCTTTGCCACTCATGTATGCCTGGAGCAACTGCAAGAGCATTTAAAATTCCACACGGACATAGTGTTCCATGTTGACCCAGCAAACGCCTACATCCGGATCTTCGCCCCGGATGAGGATGCGCTTCGCTCAGCCAACGCGACTTTCCACAGTTTCTCAAGCCTCGAAGATCAAGAGTCGGATGTGGAGGGCGAGGTATCCCCACAGAAGTTGCCAAAACGACCATCGCAACAGAGGAACAAGTCTTCTCAGGTTAGCACTCACTTTCAATAGGCTCACAACATCTGACTAATGACCAGAACAGCCACAGCCAGCCAAGCCGAAGGATAACAGGCGGTTAATCCCGCACATAAAGCAGCCTCTATATGATCGCCTCAGCAAATCACTGCTTGAACCAGATTCACTTGTCGACCCTCCACCAGTCAATGACACGTGGCTCGTCCAAAAGCATCGAGATATTATTAGGGATTACAGCGATGTTCACCAGGATGAGAAGGAGTATATCTTCGAATGGGATGCCTACGTAAACAGGGATTGTGTCACTTCAGAGCCCCAACTTCAAGATTTATATATTAAATTCATCCAGGACAAGAGCACATGGATATCAGCGTCACAAAATCGGGCTACGGAATGGGCTAAGCACTTGAGCTATCTCAAATCAAGGAATGCTCTAACAGAAGAGACAATTACTGAGGCCTTCACCATCATGCGCCAATCAAGGTCCCAGAAGCGACTAGATCCAGACGCTACCAAAGTATCACCCCCAAGGCCAGCATACCGAAAATCCGTAGCAGGTTGCCCTGTGTGTGGTCAGCCAGTGAGAGGTCCGGCCATTGTGGTCTGCTCGAACTCGGTATGGTGTTTAATGATTTTCCTTTTTACCGCGTCCTGATTCTGACAGGCTTCATAGGATTGTAACAATGCGCTATATCACACAGAATGTATCCGGTCTGAAGCAAAGCAGCCCGTAGAGAGCCGCAATTGGCGCTGCAATAAGTGTCACGACGAACAGAAGACGACTTAGTGTGCATCGCTTACTTTGCTTGGTCGTGTGAATGGCAGAATGTCACGAACATCTGCCATGACTTTATACAACGTTGCTAAAGCAGACTAATTTGTGCCAGGAATTTTTGACGTGATATACGGTAACGCAGAGATGGTACATGAAGGCTGAAGGCAGCGAACTCCACTGGTCGGTTTAATTGCAATTGTAAATATGTATCATATCTACCAAGGCGGCCCACAGGACCAAGGCATAGAGGGCGTTCAGTAGGTTGCTAGAGGGTATAAAGCGCAACAAATCATTGAGCTTACAAAACATAGCAAATAAGAAGTAACTCAGAGTACTCAAATTGATACCGGGAATACCGTGATCATCATACCTGCATTCGTTTCGTACTTGACAGAAAGCGATCGAGATGTTACCAGAACTTCTATTCTCCACAGGCCATGTAATTGCGCCAGTAGCTTTTGACACTAGTTGGTTGGTCCAAGTAGCCAAAATGACATACAAACTAAGAAGAGCTTATAGGATAACTGCGTACTTAGAAGTTCTAATTGCAACTTTCACGTAGTGAAAGACCAACAAACCACTTAACTCCCAAAAACAACTACATATCAAGTTAATTCATTTCCAATTTGCCGAATAATAAATACCATAACCATTGGAGTTTGGTCGAGCAGAGCAATCCCACCAGATCGCACGAAATATCCAAAAGGCCTGATGGCCCCCACGACCCTTGGTCTCAAACATTTACTTCTACCTTTTTCTTTCTTAGCTATTAACCTCACAATAAGGGTTTCTAGTGTTAATCTTAACTTGATGGTGTAATAAGCAAAGTTTCTTTCAGGTTAGCAGATCTTCTATCAGAAAACTGCATCCTTGTCCGCCTGTAGACTATCTTGACGATTCTGGCGAGATATGGTGATATGATTGAAGAAGCACTACGATAATTTCAATGTTGAGAGCGTATGCAAAGTATAGCCCTAGGTGAGATGAACACAGCATGCAGTGACATCCCCCATACAACAGCTGATCACGTGAAGTCTGCTTCGGCTTTCTTTCCCCAGGTTCAAGACAAGGTTTTTCCCCAACTTTCCTCTTCCGGCAACGATGTGCTCGAACATATGGAGCTGCATAACAGATGACCAGGTTTCTGCGTGAGTCGCTAGTGGGGGAGGCTGCGAGACGTAGGTAGCTGGAATAAACCCAGGTGGATAATTAGCTACCAGTGTAAGTTGAATGTCGTGAAGTAGCATAGGTATATCTGTCATTTCCAGACCAGGTCAAGAAAGACCTTCGTCAATACTAGATGTATTTGGGCATGGGGGAGGTTTCATCACATCTATCTACTCCTACCGTACCATTCCAGTCATGCATTCCGATTGTGTGGTGGTGAGGAGATAAACCCCGCATCCAACACAAGGTAGGTAGGTAGTACACAGGGGATTGTCTGCCGCCCTTTGTTGAAGTCATGTGCCAATCCCCTGGTTCTAGGTCTGGAATAGACAGATGCTACTGTTGGTACCGACTGGTCGGGGTATGCATGGGAGGTAACATTGGATTAGGTTCTCTTCTCGTTTCCCTGCGTCCCTTCCCTACGTCCCTTCATGGGTAGTATACGTAGAGAGCTGCACGATTTCCCTCGGTCGTGGTTCGATTTGTACAACTTGCCTAGATAGTAGGCAAGTGCGTATGAATTGATAAACCAGCGGACAGAAAGCTATAGATTTCCTTTTCTAGCACTGCTGTCCTTTTTCTATGCTTTTTTTAACCCCTACTTCGTCCTTTGTTTCTGAAATAGGTAATCTGAGGTACTGAGGGGACACATAGCAAGCAAGCAAACAAGCTTTACCACGAACCCCTCACTTGCTCTCCTGCTCATGAGTACGGTCAAACATGAGGCAGCCTGAAAATCCCGACGCTCGGTCTCCGGAGCATGGCGCAAATGACGATATCGAGGCGAAACCTGTTGTCACCCAGGACACGATGAGCGAGAAGCAGGATGTTGAGAAGGATGTCGAGGATGGTCGGCGCGGGAAGTCTGCTCATATCGATGCCGCCGTTGCGGCGCGCATTGCTGACAATGTCGACGATTTCATGGTAAATATGCCCTATTCCGCTTGTGAACTAGGCAAAGAGAAAGGGAAATAAGCAGACTGACTGAAAGTAATTTGGGCTGAGACTATAATTTGCAGACGCTCGTCAACGAGGCCGATGAGGCTAATGAGAGGGAACGCGGGAGTAAGTCAACCCCCATATACCTTGTATTTAATGCCTACCTACTATCTCTGGTGGCAATCTCAAGAACCGATGTGACGAACAGAAGTGATGCAAAATTGCTTCTCGATAGCTTCTTCCTGTCTTGGAGATTCGTGCTTTGCCTAGCTAACATGGAGACCATTATAGTGACGCTTCGTCATGCCCTCAAGGTTTATCCGAAAGCCATTGGCTGGTCTATGCTGCTCTCCTCTTGTTTAATCATGGAGGGCTACCAGACCGCTGTTGTTGGATCAGTGAGTAATCCCAGGTGGTATCTTGGAAGCGAAATTTCCGGTATAAGAGTCCACTTTCAAACCAGCGATCAATTAACCTTGATGCCCCCGAGAAAAGACTAATATCGCGTTTGAAATGGCAAGAGCTGATTCTGAAAATCTAGTGTAAGCTGAATGTCCTTGAATCATGAACAACGATGACCCGACAAGGAATGATGAGACTTACGTACTTATTCATTTTCTCTCGACAGACCTCGCGTACCCAGCATTCAAGGATCGATTCGGCATCGTCGCGCCAAACGGCGACCGCGTGATCCCAGCAAGCTGGCAGAACGGCATCTCTGGCGCCACGAATGTCGGCGAGATCATTGGGCTACAGGTACGAAAAACAATGCACTCAACCTCTCACTTGTTCTCATTTAGAGCCCGTTTAACACTCCTCTTCTCTTCTATGATATAGATCGCCGGCGTCGTTTCCGAGCGCTGGGGTTACCGCTGGACCATCATCAGCGCCCTGGTAGCCGTGACAGGGTTCATTTTCTTCCCGTTTTTCGCGGGGAATCTGACCGTGTTCCTCGTCGGCGAGCTCTTCCAGGGGATGGCGTGGGGCGTCTTCCAGACCATGACCACGGCGTACGCCGCTGAGGTCTGCCCCGTGCCCCTGCGACACTATCTCACTGCCTATGTCAACTTGTGCTGGATCATCGGACAGTTCATTTCGTCTGGGGTCCTTGTCGGACTTGTGTCTCGCACGGATGTCTGGGGGTAAGTAGTTTTTCTCCTTATCCACCCTTTAATCCATTGATTGATATTACGCTGGGCGTAGCTAATGCGAAATAAACGGCTTAGATATAAGATTCCTTTCGCTATACAATGGGTTTGGCCTATCCCTATCGCTATCGGGACGTATCTGGCCCCTGAGTCGCCTTGGTGGTGCATCCGGTACGGCAAGAAGGAAAGGGCAGAGCAGTCGCTTAAACGCCTTGCACGAAGCTCTGGGTTTTCCCAGCGTGAAGCTGACGCTGCTATGGCTTGTGAGTTACAATCATGTCTTACGGACTCGCTCAGCAACTGGCTATGTCGACAAGCTTGAACACACGTCGTTTACATGTACAAACTAATCAATGTAATAGTGATGATCTACACCGACGAGATGGAGAAGCAGGTCGCATCCGGAACGACATATTTAGATTGTTTCAAGGGTGTCAATCTACGCCGCACAGAAATCATTTGCATGACGTGGCTGGCGCAGACGTTGTCCGGGACGGCGCTGGGCGGTCTGTCGACGTTCTTTTACCAACAGGCTGGTATATCGGACAGTGATTCGTTTAAGTTGAGCTGGGGAAAAGACGCCATTAATTTTGTCGGCACTGTCACCAGTTGGTTTGTTCTTAACAAAGTCGGGCGGAAGACGCTTATGTTCAGCGGCATGTGTACCATATTCGTATTATTGCTGTAAGTATCATGTCTCTCATGGTGGATTACACTCAGTACCCTATATTTTCTCTTCACCGTCTCTCCACACCCAAGCACTCGCATCGCGACGACACAGCCAAGGCACATCAAACTAACCGCACCATCTTCTACAACAACAGCATAATCGGCTTCCTCGGAATCCCATCACCAACCACGACTGCAGAGGCCTGGGCAGCAGGGACCCTAGTCCTCCTGCTCAGCGCGACAGCCAACTTCTCCATCGGCCCGGTGGTATACACGATCGTATCCGAAGTCCCGTCGACGCGTCTCCGCGCCAAGAGCATCATCCTCGCACGCAACGCCTACAACGCCATCAACATCGCCTTCGTGAACGTCGTCAGCTACCGCCAGCTTAGCCCGGACGAGTGGAACTGGGGTCTCAAATCAGGCTTTTTCTGGGCCGGCATCAATGCCATTTTCACGACTTATATATTCTTTCGACTGCGTGAGCTTCCTCCCCTCTTTGAACAATTTCTCCTTCCAGACCTTTTTTTTTTTTTTTTTTTTTTCCTCCTCTTCTTCGATCCCCCCATTAGGACCTTTGTGGGGATCAGTCTTGAGAAAAAATGATGATTACTAACTGCTTGGATCGCGTTGCGGATTTCCAGCGGAGACAAAAAGCCGTACGTACGCTGAGCTCGACATTCTCTTTGAGAATAAGGTGCCCGCGCGAAAATTTGCGTCTACTAAGATCGAGACGCTCGTTGCTGGAACCGAGGGCGCGCAGAAGCAGCAAGCGGCAGATATTGTTGGCGAGTAAGACACACACTAGTGCCCGAGGCTGGTTGGGTTTAAATATGATGATTGAAGCTGGACACAGGTCTGGAGTTAGGCAGATACTGAGAAGTGATGGGGGCTCGTTCAATATCAGGGGGAATCAAGGAGATTTAGGGTGTTGACAGCTTGCAATAAGCGCTGTTCATATCTGCGAACTCATGGTAACCAAAGTATCGATATCTCTTGAAACACGCTATGCCGTATTATTGTGAGGCATACACCTAACACATTTGTGCCTTCATTGTACCGCCTCCTACTTGCAAAAGGATAATTAAATTCAACCCACTTCCAGGCGGTGATGGCACCACGCAAATAATATACACTCTTTAAAACCTATACTTGCTCTTCTTCTCTTCGCGCTTTTCTTCGTCGCGTTTCATTCTCTTCCGACTTTCATTCGCAATCATCTCGTCCAGCCCTTCTTCTCTTCCCCTCCACTGAGCGCCCACGCCCTCCTCGCGTCTTCCTTCCTCAAACCTCCGTTGCATCTCCTCTTTGCTGATACCATCGCCTAACGCTTCTGGATCGAAAGAGACATCAACGTCACCAGGCTTCTTCCGCTTCCTGCTACTATCCTCGTCTTGGCCAAGGACATGCATGCCACCGGCATTTTTCATATCGTACACACGGTCGCTGCCAAAGAAGCCCTCTGCTCTCGATTGCCTCTCCTGGAGAACGGTGTATGCTGCACGGGGGTGCATGCTCTCTTCGGTCTCATATCCACGACGCTGTTTACGGAGATCCATTTCTCCAGCGACTGACTCGGTGTGAGTACCATACTCTGTTGGTACGGTGCTTGTCATGCCGCCTGGGGTCTCCAAGCCAGTAGATGTCTGTATTCCGGTGCCGACATCTTCTTCATCCTCGTCCTCATCTTCATCCTCTTCTTCCTCTTCAGACTCCTCCTCGACCACTTGAAGCTCGCCCCACAAATTCCGTTCAATTGGCTCGCCGGACGGTGGTGCAGCTTGGTTTGGTTGCATAATACCAAAGATATCACCGCCGAATAGCGGCCTGTTGTACTCATCGACTGGAGGCTTGCCATAGCAACCCGGATTAAAGCCCCACTGTGCACCAGGTGGTATAGGGGCATTTAACCCAGGGATACGAAGGGATGGATATGAGGGCGGAGGACCGAAACGTTGCTGGTTGATAAGCCACGGTGGAGGTGCTCCTGGGGGAATACTGAGAGCTTCTTTAAGGCTATCACCTAACTCGCCGGGACGTAGATGCCGTAAGTCTGTTTCGTACTCTTTGCCCTCGTAGTACACTTCACCGAATCGTGTAAGCATAGGCTTATCTTGAAATCTGAAGAATGCATCATAGAGCTTCTGGTAGTCGATGTCAAGTTTGCCCATCTTGGGCGCGACTCGTTCCCTCTGTTTCTGTTTGAGGCTTTGCTCTGCCTGTTTCTCCAACACGGCGTCCCTCATTTCTGAAATACCAGTGTCCGCGATAAACTTGGGCAGTTTGAAGGCTGGCTTTTCAATACCCCTCTTGGATGACAGATATTCGCGCTTCAAGGACCAATGGGACGGCACGGGCACGACGTTGCGCTGGGCTTTGATTTGCACGAGTAGACGAGGATCGGACGAGGATATGTCTTGCCACTCAACGACCTCAGGTTTCTTGACCAGGGCCTTGAGCTCGGCGATAGATAGCTTGCTCATCATTTTCCTTTTCTTTTTGGAAATCTTGTTCTGTCCAGACTGATTCTCGTCGTCTTCGTCGGGTATGTTATCGTCGTCATCGTGGAATACCTCGCCTTGAATACCAGCATTGGCCTCTTTCGCGACGGCATCCTCGTCGTTATTTGATGCGCCAAACTTGGAGAAAACATCCTTGAACATCGAAAAGGCGGGATCTTCGGCATCTAGATCATACTCTTCTTCTTCTATGGGACCATCGGCGGGGAATCCGTTGGCGGCAGTAGAATCCTTTTTGAATTCGAGATCCGATGTGCCATTTGTTTGCGCAGTGTCGTTGGGGGCCTCAGACTCCTGCTCGCTCTCCTCAACCTGAGGCGTCTCGCTCGCTCCCGATGCGTCCTAGAGGGTAATGGGAGGTAAGCATAAGCGTTCAATGTAATGAGGATGGAAGTAACTTACTTCAACTTTAGCGGCCTTGTCGGCTTTCTTCTTTGCGCGCCGCTTCTGGTTCTTGGTCATCTTAGGGGCCGCCATGTTGCCGACGAGGGAGGCAAATGCGCCTCAACCAATGGATAAGTCACGCAGTGCTAGGGATGTGTGAATAGTCACAGGGTTGGAATCTGGGAGACGCGTTATGTTGATACAATGGAGACGGTGGTGGATGATCAAGTTGATGTTCCAAGATGAGGCTGGCATTCGAGTGGCCCGGGGAGCTAAAGTTCGCCGCAAGAAATAATATGGACGCCTTGCTCTGGTCAGACTCTGGTGGAGGTATCTTGCTATGCAACGCTGCGCGCGGCGCGACTTCTGCATTAATGTGGACCCTTAAATTCATAGCGTAGAATAAAGTGGAGATATGCATGTGAATCTCGTGAATCTCATTTGTGCCTCCTTCAAGGTACTTCCCCTACTAGGTACCAACGGTACATCTTGTAGCTGTTGTTGAGACGCTTAGAAGTAACTGTAGAATGAAGCAGAATGTTTCACAGAATTACAATCGCGGAAGGAAAAGACATCTCAAGCATACTATATCGATCATTCCAATTATAGGACTACTTAGGTAGAATGAGTGAAGTGCCTCTGGCCAATCCTTTGACGGCGTGCTGCAATGCTTGGCCATCTCTGCCTGATTGGCTGAATAGAGGAACACCCTTCTGTAGCGACGCTAGAATACTGGACAGAATCAGGGATAGGTGCGACACTAGGCCCAGTCAGCCCAGGCTTTCCAGGCCCTGGACCGCCGCATGCCATCAGGCCAACTGCTGCTACCAGTCAGACTACCCAAGTTTGATGATTGCGCAACCCTCGAAATCAATCCGCGTAATGTTCGAGCAACCATCGTCGATCTTGTCTCCTATTGTACACTATTGTGTCTTGTGAACCCCTACCGAGAACATCTGCTGCATCATTGTGTTGAAGGCCATTGGCAAGGCCTGCTTGTCAACCCTCCAGACAGCCAATAATAACACGGCCAACACTTGAAATCTCCCAGATCCACGCAATGACGCTATAACGCTCGGTTGTCCGAAACTCGTGCTATTGTTGGATTCTTTTTTTCTTTCTTTCTCTTCTACCTCTGTCGCTCGTTACCATATATAAATCACTGTCGATCCGTCGCTTCGTCCGACTGACCGGCAGGCAATTACCATGCCTCATTCGACTACCTCCGGCTCCTATTCCCGAGAGTCTTCCGTCCCACGATCGAATCCTAAGAGCCTGTCAGCGTTGGGAGATGTAGATGACGATACGGACTCGGGCCTCGAGAAATTCCCTGATCACATCGATGCCCCTTCTATGCGCAATTATGCCTCGCGGTCGTACAGCCCCGGCGGACTCAATGGCTATGGCATAGGTCTGAATGGTAGCGCCCGCCTCAACGGAGACCGTTGGATGCCCTCGCCAGCCAGAGGTGTAAGATGGGGTCCATTGGGCGCTTCGTCGCCTTTACCCTCTCGAGGAGGACATGGTCGACAGAAAAGTATTAGCGAGGCCTTTCGGACTATCAGGAATCGAAATGGAAGCGTCAGCCAAAATGCCCACGAGATAGCTGATGCCCTGAAAGCGCCTGTCTCTGCTAAGCTTATTGTATGTCGCACTCGCTGTTGTCTGAATTCTACCACACAAGCTCACCTCTCATCTTGTAGGCCCTATGTATCATGTGGTACATGTCTTCTGCCCTGACCAACACTTCTTCCAAGTCCATCCTAAATGCCTTCAATAAACCTGCCACACTCACGATGATACAATTCTTCCTAGTAGCATTCTACTGCATAACGTCCTCATGGCTGGCAAGCGTGTTTCCAAAGTTGCGTACGTCGATACCTGCCCTAAAAAATCCCATACGGGCTCCATCTCGGGATGTCATAAACTCTACCTTGCCTCTGGCTGTGTTTCAAGTCGGTGGTCATCTTTTCAGCTCTACGGCGACGAGTAAGATCCCCGTATCCATGGTCCATACCGTTAAGGGCCTGTCGCCACTCTTTACCGTGTTCGCCTACCGCTACTTTTTCGACATTCGATACCCGAGAGCAACATATTACTCACTCATACCCCTCACACTTGGTGTAACATTGGCCTGCTCATCAAATCACACTTTCAAGGGGGAGATAGTTGGCATCCTCCATGCTTTGGCCGCTACTATCATATTTGTCACTCAAAACATATACTCCAAGAGATTGTTTAACGAAGCCGCCAGGGCAGAGGCGCAACGCGAAGAGGCTAAATCCCGCAAATTGGACAAGTTGAACTTGCTATGTTACTCATCTGGACTTGCATTCTTGCTTACCTCTCCCATCTGGTTTTGGAGTGAAGGCGTGGGCTTGATTCGTGATTTTGTCCAGGATGGATCACTAGATCTGTCGGCCAAGCCCAACGCCTTCGACCACGGCCGCTTGGCCCTCGAATTCCTCTTCAATGGAACATTCCATTTTGGACAGAATATTCTTGCCTTTGTCCTACTATCGCTCGTGTCTCCAGTCACTTACTCGGTTGCGTCTTTAATCAAACGGGTGTGGGTCATCGTAGTGGCAATTTTATGGTTTGGAAACTCAACAACCCCAATCCAGGCGGTGGGGATTGCACTTACATTTCTTGGGCTATATCTGTACGATCGGACAAGCGATAGCAACAAGGCAGATCGTCGAGCGCAACTTCTCAGCCAGACGTCGGCTGGGAACGCCCCGCTGCTGCCACTGAACACAGTATCTGGAACATCAGTGCCAGGCGAACGAGGGCCCATCTACGACAGTCCTATGTCTATGTCCGGTGGGAAGTTGCCGCATCCCTTTGCCAATGGACATGCTTCCGCCTCCGGTACAGTCGAAGATCTTAAGAAGAGCGACGAAAATGGTAGAACCCGACAGCGAGGAAGCAGTAATGCTGCTTGGCTGGCACCTGGCACCAAACAAGAAGAAACCTGGATCACTGGAGACGGTATCAAGGCGGCCTCGTGATATTGCATCGTATCGAAATAAAGCCAGAGCGACGGCAGGAGTGTGAGGGAGGCTGGCCAGCCAGCTGTTATGTATTATGCATGGACGATTTAAATCATAGAATGTCATGATGAGTGGGAGTTAGACAATGCAGGGCAACTGGTTCTTATCACACAGTCCACTACTGGTACTTGAAGCCCCAGTGTAATTAGAAGCGGCGGGTGCTAGTCAGGACTGTACTATCTATCATTAGGCATACGGGTGCGGGAGTTTGGATCTTGGCTGTGTTTGTGCTGTCATGGCATCTTACCTGTACAACTAGCTTCTGCTTAGCACTATTGGGATATACTTTGTATAGAAGATTGGTCGGAGATGTCTATGGCGCTAGCTTGGAGTAATAACTCATTTTACATAGTTAACATTCTCTCGCAATTTGAGCGCAAAAGCGAATGGATAAAAAAAATAAAAAATAAAGCCATGAAATGTTTTTATTTTGCTCCCATTTGTGCCTTGCCCCGCGTGGCTTGTTATCTAGATATCGTGTGTAGGTATTTAAACACGATGAACCATTAACAATCTATCGGGGTTATCAGATGAATGATTACGGCATAGATTGATGCCGACAACGAGAGGTCCAATGTCCAATGTCCAGAGCTTCAGTTCAGGACAGCGAGTAATTCCCTCTATCCACATAACATTCAAGACAAGTAGCTTCCAAGGTGATAAATAGTGCCCTGAGCTGGGGAGCTTGCATTCTCATCGGGTCTAGCGAATGGGCCCTCGATACCCGAATTGGCTTGGGCGGTGCGCATGTCCGGACAGGTCGTCCTCGGCCACTGTTGAGTTCACGTGACTAAATTAGCTCGTTCCAGCAACGGGAGCCGCTGTTGCGGTTTTTCTTCGTCTACCTCTCATTTCTTCACTCTCTCTGCTCAGCAGAACCACATCACCCATCCTCACCTTCCTATCCACCACCGCAGCTCTTCATCGCTCAAGATGTTCAAGAGGTGAGTACAGCACCCCGAGTGCGCCAGAATCATGTTTTTCCGCCATCGCAGGCCCGCAATTGCCGCCAATTGAGGTGCATTGAGCTGACCCCGACTTCTTCGCTCCGAATAGCCGCATGTCCTCCTTTGCCCGCCCGGCCTTCTCGGCTGCCACGCGGCGCGTAGCAAAGCCCTCCTCCCTCAGATTCCCTCTCGGCTCGAGATTGGCGAGCACATCAGGTGTTGGTGATGGAAAGATTCACCAGGTAAGCTCTTGTTCCATCCGCCCGCCCAGAGCTCCGGAAGCTTGGCAAAGTACCCGTCAACTGACAAAGCTTTTCAACAGGTCATCGGTGCCGTCGTCGACGGTTGGTGCGCCCGTTCCAACTCGATGCGAGTGTGACACTTGAGGCATCTTTACTGACAATCTTGGACAGTCAAGTTCGACACAGCGAAGCTGCCCCCCATTCTAAACGCCCTTCAGACAGACAACCAGGGCAACAAGCTCGTCCTCGAGGTCTCGGTAGGCTTTCCCACCATAAAGCCCGCAGCGCTTATCGATTGCTAACTGAGTAACAGCAACATTTGGGTGAAAATGTCGTCCGTTGTATTGCCATGGACGGTAAGGTTCCGCTGAGATCTATGTCTGATGTAGTCGCTTATTTTTTTCTCCAGGTACTGAGGGTCTCGTCCGAGGCGCCAAGGCTACCGACACTGGCGCTCCCATCACAATTCCTGTCGGCCCTGCCACACTCGGTCGTATCATTAACGTCACTGGTGACCCGATCGACGAGCGTGGACCCATCAAGTCCGAGCACACCCTGCCCATTCACGCCGACCCTCCTGAGTTCGTAGACCAGTCTACTACTGCTGAGGTTTTGGTTACTGGTATCAAGGTCGTCGATCTTCTCGCTCCCTACGCTCGTGGTGGAAAGATTGGTCTGTTCGGTGGTGCTGGTGTCGGAAAGACTGTCTTCATTCAGGAGCTGATTAACAACATCGCCAAGGCTCACGGTGGTTACTCTGTCTTCACTGGTGTCGGTGAGCGTACTCGTGAGGGTAACGATTTGTACCACGAAATGCAGGAGACCTCCGTCATTCAGCTTGACGGCGAGTCCAAGGTCGCCCTTGTGTTCGGTCAGATGAACGAGCCCCCCGGAGCTCGTGCCCGTGTCGCCTTGACTGGTCTTACTATTGCCGAGTACTTCCGTGACCAGGAAGGCCAGGATGGTAAGCTCATTTGCCCTCGTTCTCATGTTGTCCGTCGCTAATTCAGTGCAGTGCTTCTCTTCATCGACAACATTTTCCGTTTCACACAAGCCGGTTCTGAGGTGTCTGCTCTGCTGGGTCGTATCCCCTCTGCTGTCGGTTACCAGCCTACTCTTGCCATTGATATGGGTGGTATGCAAGAGCGTATTACCACCACCAAGAAGGGTTCCATTACCTCCGTCCAGGCCGTCTACGTCCCTGCTGACGATTTGACTGACCCTGCCCCCGCTACCACCTTCGCTCACTTGGACGCCACCACTGTCTTGTCCCGTGGTATCTCCGAGTTGGGTATCTACCCCGCCGTCGATCCTCTTGACTCTAAGTCTCGTATGCTTGACCCTCGTATTGTTGGTCAGGACCACTACGAGACCGCCACCCAGGTCCAGCAAATTCTCCAGGCCTACAAGTCTCTCCAGGATATCATTGCCATTCTGGGTATGGATGAGTTGTCAGAAGCTGACAAGCTTACTGTCGAGCGTGCCCGTAAGATCCAGCGTTTCTTGAGCCAGCCTTTCACCGTTGCCCAAGTTTTCACTGGTATCGAGGGTAAGCTGGTTGACCTGAAGGATACCATCGCCTCCTTCAAGGCCATTCTGAATGGTGAGGGAGATGACCTCCCTGAGGGTGCTTTCTACATGGTTGGTGACTTGGCCTCGGCCCGGGCGAAGGGTGAGAAGATTATGGCGGATCTAGAGAAGTCATCATAATTGGCTAGACTGGGTCATGTTAAATAGAAGCTGCCTACAAGGGGGCGGCGGCCTGTGTATATCTAGAAAAGGGGAGCTATGTGGTGTGGCGTGATTTCTAGCTCAAATCAATTCCCTTTGTTGAGCTGTATACCAAGAAATGCATCCTAATTCTTAAAAATACTTTGTCCCTCTTTATCTGGTGATATCATTTGCAATGACCAAAATTCAAAGCTGATATCTTGCCGATGTCAACTCAGCCTTGTCTATTATCTATATCTGTTCAAGGTTTTCCCTATCGAATATAAATGAGATATAAATGATCACTGTATCATTACGAATAACAAATTCTAACAAGATCATAACTACAGTCAGCATAGACCTTTACCCAATATAAAATTAAGACTTGTAGAAAATGGGAGCGTAAGGTCTAAGGTAAGATTTTAAGACACGGAGGGAGGCATACGTGGTGAGTTATCTTGGATATTGGATTTTTTTAACGATATTTTATGGGGATTGTGTGGAAGATATCTAGGATTGGAGTGGCTGGCTTGTATAAGGAAATAGGAGGTGGGTTTGTATGTTTAGGGACTGGAGATGAATAGACTTGTTGCGTGTGTCGGTATTGTTTTGCTGTTGTTGGGGATTTGGCAGATGGGGCAGAGACTACTATGTATGGCTATGTTTTTATGTTTGGTTGTTTTGCGAGTAGATATAAACTGTGAAAGGTAAGTTTTACCAATCGTTTCATGGAAGGTGTATTCTGAGGGACATACTGCATGCAGCCTCGGAAGAAGAAATCATGGCGATCGGCGTTGGGGTGAAGGTAATGGTACCGGGAAGTCGACGCATATACATCGATAGCCTAGCCTAGACTGATCTTGCGGAGAGGACACAGGTCTGCGGTCAGCCTGACTATCTATCTCTTATAGATAGATGTCTGGAGTTGCAGCTATGGCTCTTGTGAAAGCAGAATATACGTGACTTGTGGAGGTTGTGCTCGGGCGGCGAAGGCTGGATGGAGTACATGTTGATGGGGTTTCTCCGTGCCTGGATGAGGCCTGTTGATATATATGTATTTACGCGGTGTCTGTGCTAAGCTCGAATAACCGTGGTGGAAAGGACGGTGTGTGTTTCATCCAGCTTCGGAATCTCAGCCTTGCTGTCTGCGAAGGATGTAATTGGCTGACCGATATTCCCGTCGTTGGTTGATTCGATAAAGGACGTTGATGAGCCATACGCATATTGGAAAAGCAGTTTATATGTTATATTACCTGTCGGCGAAGAAAAGTCCATCGAGAAGATTTGGTATGTGTGGGAAAATGTGGACGGGCGATGATGATGATGTTGACTGCTATAGATATGTATTTGTACAGCTATCTGGTGCTCCCATTGAGACTAAGGGGTAATGTAATCTCCGAATCACCTTCGGAGAGCATGTTGCTATCATTTAACACAACATAAGCTCGGCGGCCAGTATAGTAGTAATAAGGCTCTCTGTGCAGTGGAAGAAGTGAAGCTGTTCGTTCAGTGACAAGCCTACCGCCAAAGACGAAACGATTATCGCAAGCAACACTTCCGAGCACCTCTGGCATTAATTTGATATACAGAAATAAATCAAACACGCTGTGATGACAGGGGTCAAAGAATTCATCAAAATTTTTGAGAAATCCTTGGGTAATTAAGCAGGAGGGAGGAGGCAGGCCAGCAATAAAGTAATGCTGGCCACCGAGGGAATCGAACCCAGGTACCTATTGATGCAGAGTGTCATCCGCGGACTGCTAATTAACGAGTCCATTCAATGCATCGCCAGGCCGTTCCAAATTGGCCGGTAGATGAATGGCGTAAACTACTTGATATATCTTGGATCAGGTGCTGTTGAAGTATGTATGGCTGGGTGGGGCGGTGTTGAGTTCAAGCTTTCTCTAGTGTGGAACTTTGGGGTATGGAGGAGGTGGTACGTGTCTAGATAGTGGATGAAGTGATGTTGATGATGAATGTTGGGATTGTCGAAGTGCTGGGTTAGATGAGTGAAGGAGTGAGCGTGTGAGATGATCTACCTTGCGATATATCCAGTAGTATATATTCACATACCGTTGCATCTTTTGTGTTACTCAATTTCACATATGTTCTCGCTCAGCTATGAGGTACAATACATCATCTCATCAGACGCCGTGAATTCAAGCCTTATTAACAGACCACCTTTCCCATACTCCTAATCAAGTAGACAGATAAATACACAAACGAGTCAGTAAAATCAAAGCTATGGTCAACTCCTATCTCCACCATTAACTGACGTGACGAGCGCTTCGCCCCCCTTGGGCTCCGGAGCACCTTCTTGATTAGACGACGAGCTAGAACCTACTGATCCGGCGGCTTCAGTAGCACGTTGCTCTATAGACGAGTTTCCCCCGTCTTCTGCTGCTGGGTCCGCGGATAGTCCGTATGCAGCTACTGCTAACACGCCTAGGATACCGCTCAAAATACTAAAGGCCAGAGCTACCTTTCCGCGGGTTGTGAATCTTGGGGAGAGCGATGTTAGTTGTTTACGACTTTTGAAACTATAAGGGAGATTCCATCCATGTTAAACTGAGGTGGAATGGACTGGATCCCACTTACCCGTCTGGCAAACGGTTAGGGGCTCGATTCTCGCCCTTTAGATTCGTGAAATCTGCCGCGTTCCCTGCGGCATTGCCCACTGTGGCGATGTTCTGCGAGGCACAGACGTCGAGATGGTTCTGTGGGAGCGTGATGCTGCTCTGCAAGTCTAAAGGCGCTTCAACCATGGTCGCTATGAGGCCTGAGGTTACGTGCCATTCTATGTGGCAGTGGAAGAGCCAGATGCCTGTATGATACTGAGTAAGCAAATATTGTATTTTTTATGACATTCGATTTAAAAGAGTGAAAAGCAAGATGTTTGAAGCGAGTGTGACATGTAGTCTACAACGTTTACGGAGCGAATGATCTCGAACAAAAGATGAACATCCTTACCTGGGTTATCAGCGCGAAACCGCAAAACGATGTTCCCAGTAGGATACAGGACAAACGTGTCCCGGCGCATAGGGGTCGTGGGGAAATCAGCCTCGGCAACATTGACATCTTTGAAAGTGCCGGCGTCTTCCTCGGAGCGGTATAGAGCCTGGAAATGGTGTCCGTGGAGATGGAAAGGATGTCGGCCCGTGTCGAGGTTGTTGACGACGATCTGCACGATCTCGCCTCTTTCGAGAACGAAGGCGTTTGTGTAAGATCCGTAAATGCTGGGATCTGTCACCAACTCGCCGGCGGAAAGTGCCGTGTATAAGGTCTAGGTTGAAGGTTCAGCATAAAACACGTGCGAGTTTGACCTCGTTCATCTATGTCGACAACTTACTGGTACTTTAGGCGCTTTGTAGGTTATGTTATTGAAGAAAGCACTGCAAGATGCAAGGGTTAGCGGCTTGTTCAACTCTTGAAAGTACATTCACAATTCAAACAGGTAAGGATTGATAGTACGTACTAATTCGCGCCATCGTTGAGGTTATCCATGATTACGTTCAGCTCGATGGTCTTGTCGGGCTCGCCGAAGATACTCTGATTATCATACGGTATTAACGTCATGTCGTCGAAGGGGTCTAGCTCATCGACGAGAGAGGGCTCAGGAAATGGTCGAGCATCGTCATAAGCGAGCCATCCGGTCACATTATAATTCAGATCTTCCGGTAGGGTATCGAATAAGGTCTAAGAATGTTAGCATAGACGACTACAAAATGGACGGGGATATTATTCGTGACGGCATCTTACTGTGTCCATGCTCGCTATGAACGCGTAGTTGGCAGTAGTTTCATTCTTAGTCGTCAGCAGAAAGCTACATCGTTGCGCAGCAGACATGTATATCATCTCCGCCTCTGCTGGCTGGTGATATACGCCGTCGACTTCAACGATAGTCATATTATGCCCCTCGAACCAGATGTACTGTCCCGCAAAGGCTCCAATGTTGACCATACGGAATAGATAAGTCTTTCCAGGCTGGACAGCGACTTTCAGGTTTTGGGTTTCGTTGAAGAGGGCGGCTTGTGGTACTGGTTCTGCGCCGGTGGGGTTTCCTTTGGAATTAAAGGCCGGGAGCAGGACCGCCATTTGTTCATGATACCAATCCGATACGGTGAGCACAATTTCTTCATCGTATTGGTCTAGGAATGGAGATTCTGGGTCGTTGATTATCAATGGTCCTCTTAGTCCATCTGGGTATTGGCCGCCGGTGTGGGAGTGGTACCAGTATGTACCGGGTTGGTTGATCTAAGACATGTCAACAGGTTTGTTATTCACAATCAAAGCATATCAGGTAGGTCGGTGTATCTTACAGTGAAGTTGTATGTGAAGCTCGATCCTGGCGGGATTCCACATTGCGTGACTTGCGAAGGGCCATCCATGTGGGACGTACCGTTCATGAAAAGGCCGTGAAAGTGCAAAGAGGTCGATTGATTACCAAGATGGTTCGTAGCGTGAACGATGACATTGTCACCCACATTTGCCTCTATTCGCGGAATCGGCCATTCCCCGTTGATGCCTATGGTTGGCCTCTCGAATGCGCCATCTGGGTTGGCGGTCACCCAGCTGATGTTAAAGTCATATGTCACTGTCGCCGCGTGTATGGTTTGTAGAGTGACTAATGCCCATGTCAAGGCTGCAGAGAGGCTTGTATGCGACTTCATTACTGCTATAGGCGAACGCGTGCCTCGAAATCGAAATCTTTAGAGCCAATAATATAGCTATAATCAGTGCCCTTGTAAGTGAAATGTAAAGGGAAGAGATCTAGTATCTATCCGCACACTGAAACAAGTCTGAGTCCTTGGTGACTTCTAGCAAGCGATTATGCTATGCAGAGAAACGAATGGATAAAGATAATGTAGCATATTTACGTAACCTAGAGCGAGGTGGAGGTGGGCATTTCACGAGGATTGTCTTATCCATCAGATTAGATCAGAGTTGGTGTGTAGCAACACCGTTAGACTGGTGAATGGCAATATGGCTTGCCTTGTTCTGGGATCACCGCTTATCTGATCCGAGGTAGGAGTCGGAGCTGGAAAACTATTACCACCTACCCGAAGCGCATGTACTCAAGTCTCAATGGTAATAATTTCACTGTGTGGTGTGGTGTGAGACAACCAGGTCCCCCGCTCCATCTTACATTCTCTTCTATAGGCCAACCTACATAGTATTCCTACGGAGCAGAATCGAACGGTTACTGTCCTACCCGAGTGGTGTGATATCCCCGCGCCGTCAATCAGCTAGCATTCGCCAAAAACCGATCCCGGCGCCGAGGCGTTGTTGTAGAACTAAGTGCATGTAGACGCCATGTGGTGGTTGTTTGACCTTATCGTCCAACGAAACCTTAGGCGCCTTTGAACGATAAAATTCTACCTAGTCAGCAGCTAAGGAGATCTAGACGTACTTAGAAGGGGTCAAAGTTCACACTACCAAAGGTCCTGGCGTTTTAGAACGACTACCAAAGATGCCGGAAGAGAAGTGGCGTACAGTTCGGGCAGCCGGCTGAATGATGCAGTGTAGCGCCAGCAAGGATCATAGGTAGGTACTATGTAGCCCATAACAACATGATCTTAATAGCTTGCTGTGATTTTGGACCGGGGGTGTACTTCGGTATAGAATCAGTCAGCCAAACCATATCGACACGTTTGTTCATTTTCGCATTTAGGAAATGGATGTGGGTCGAAGAGGATGAAAGCACCGTGGCACCGGATAATGACATTTTAGCCAGGCCTTGCAGACGGGACAAGAAGACCAGAAAGCTTATGCATTCTTGGCTGGCGTGGGCAGCTTTGATCTGCACCCATGTCCTCGTGAGCGGTGCATCGACTAGCTTCGAGCTAGCATGCAAGACAAACACTTGCTTCTTCATGCTTCTTTTTTTTCTCTTCTCCTCTGCCCAGTACGGAATTATACGCGGAATCGTCCAGGATGAACCTACTACTGACCAATGACTTGTGAAGCCGCTATCGGCGGCAAAAATCAAGTCTAGACCATCTTGTAGGCAAGAGTGATGAGGTTGACAATGGTGGTTGGGATGCTCCACACCCTCTTGTTTTTATCTGATCGAATAGATAATCGTCGCACATTGGGTCGTATCTGTTGCGCCACAGTGCGTACACTGGCTACGGGTGGTCAGATCTCTCGGAGGGAGGGTAAATACTTCGCAGGTGTGTCTTGGATGGAGAGGGTATTACCTATTCTCGGTATTCTGTCGACGATTTCCCGACTCTACTTTCTTTCATATGTTCTTTCGTATGTGAATAGATGCAAGTGATATAATCCGCATCATAATGGCGAAAGACGTCTTCGCCGTCCCGGTATTCCTCGTCGTCTTCCGCGAGACACTTGAGACAGTCATCATCGTCTCTGTACTCCTCGCTTTTCTCAAACAAACTCTCGATGGTCCCAACCGCGATGTCGCCGTATACAAGGCTCTAGTCAGGCAGGTAAGAGCTTTCTTTCTCAGTTCCCATTATAAAAGATGTGAATCTCAAACACTAGAAGATGTACATCCCTAATTATATACTTACCCCATACGTATATCCTTACTGACTAACGAAATAAAAAGGTGTGGCTAGGAGTTGGCATAGGCTTCTTCATCTGCCTTGTCATTGCAGGCGGCATCATTGGCACCTTCTACACAGTAGGCCGCAACGCATGGGAGACCAATGAGTACAACTACGAGGGCGCCTTCGCGCTCTTCGCCTCCCTCATCATCAGCGTGATCGGAGTTGCCCTCCTCCGCGTCGGCAAGATGCAGGAGAAGTGGCGCGTCAAGCTTGCAAAGGCTCTCGAGGCCCCCGTCAATACCAGTGGATCTCGCGGCCCCGTTGGCTGGCTGAAGCGCTTCGCCGAGAAGTACGCCATGTTCTTGCTACCCTTTGTGACTGTTCTGAGAGAGGGTATCGAAGCCATTGTTTTCATCGCTGGCGTATCTTTCTCGGCGCCTGCTACTGCTGTGCCGTTGCCGGTTGTCGTCGGGCTGATTGTTGGCGGTATTGTGGGATATATCCTGTATAGGTGAGTCTAAGATCAGGAACGGTCTGGATTGCGACGTCACATATTGATATAGTCTAGGGGCGGCATCACTACTCGGCTCCAGTACTTCCTAGTTGCTTCGACCTGCTTACTATATCTAGTCGGCGCTGGTCTTTTCTCTCGCGCCATCTGGTACTTCGAGGCCCAACAATGGAATAACATTGTTGGTGGCGATGCTGCGGAATTAGGAAGCGGACCTGGATCATACGATATTGATAAAAGTGTCTGGCATGTGAACGTAAGTACTTCTATATGCTTTAAATGGCTTATTATGATTCTGACAATGTGTTTCGATTAGTGCTGTAGTCCTGAGCTTAATGGTGGCGGCGGATGGGGAATCTTCAACGCTATTCTTGGGTGGACGAATTCGGCAACGTATGGATCTGTCATCTCATACAACCTTTATTGGATTGCTGTTGTGATCTCATTGGGTGTAATGAGATACCGCGAGGTCAAAGGACACTGGCCGTTATCTCGACCCAAGTCCGTGGCGGCTAGTCACGCCAACGTTGGCGAAGACATGAGTTCTGGGCAGAAGCGAGAAGTCTCCGAATCTATCAGCCCTGCTTGATCATGTCGCCCAACGCAGACATAGTGCTCTGGGTATTGTGGGGGGTGGGGGGGACTGGGATGCCTGGATGATTGGATGGTGTTAAAAGAAAGCAAGACACAAATTCTAGAAAGTGTGGCTTCTAAATCATAGCAGAATCAATGTGGCCTCAGATATTCGACGTCATTACCCAGCCTGTGTACAATAATGCTGCTGCTAGGTGCAAGACCTGTGCAATTTTGACACTAACTTGATATATATTTCCATATTCGAAAGGCTGAAAACTATAGCAGGATCTCCTCTGATGGTCCCAATCTTAGTGAATGAAGGTAATCATAGCTGTCTATGAAGGTAGGTGACAGTCAGTGCCAAGTCTATTGTGGTTTTGAGTGTGGAGAAAGGGAATGACGGGATATGTGACGAAACTCAACAGGTAGATAACGCGTATGGCATCTTCACCGGAGATGCTGTACTCTCTGTTTACACCCGTTGCGCTTATATCAACCTGGCAGCTGATGTGAATGAAGCAGATGCCGGCATTGATGCCTCACGTTATCACTTTTCTGAGAGCGTCATACGTGTTGTGATACTTTTGTGTTTGTCTTGTTCGTACATACCCAGTCGCTTCCCGCTAGCTGCCTATGGCCACGAACCTAACTGTGCTAAAAAATCAAGATGCCCTCTTCGAATCAGACGTATTTAGGTATTTCTGTCGCTTGGGAAATACTGTATGCTTCTATAGACTTTGATTCCACTCCGCCATCGGGCGAAAGATAGGAGGGAGAAAGATGAATTAATGAAACGAGAGTAGCAACTCATCGAATGTGGCCGTTTCACAACACACTTTTCCGAAAAAGTTTGATTTGTCTGTAAGTCCACAATTGAGCTCTCTAATCCCAGCTTGGAGAGTAGTATGGAGCGCCAAATCTAACGTCCATAAGTTCTCTCCATTTAATTCTTGCCCACTCTCTAATGTCTCTCGTTGCTTGTTCACCTATGAGTCTTGACTTCAGTATTGCAAGTCATTAGTATATACGGCAAGATCGGACTTACTTTGATTGAACGGAACCCATATCCATGGGCACTGTTCCAGAACCCGATTTACCCACAGTTGTTTTTCAGCGCTATTACTCGTGTGCCTCTGCGATAGGACTCTCGAGGGGAACTGATATTCGATCCATTGAGCGAAACAAACAAAGTTATCGTTGGGCATCCAAGATCCAATCTCAAACATAGCCCTGGGACGCAGAGACATGGCAAATACGTCCATCCCGATACCAGAGTCGGCGTTACAGTCGCCATTTACTATATAGTGCAAATCGTCCTTGTCGGCGTAGGGCCATATAAAGACAGAATATTTATCGTAAACACCAGTACGGCCGATCGAAACAATGCCTAGGTACTATGGTGAGTTAGAATACAGAATCGCCCAATGGTGGAGTGGTACATGACACACAAAATCATGCGGGTCATTCAAGTAAGGAAGGCAAAGATATATCCCATAGGGTTTGATCTCGTCTGTCGGATCATACATAACGGGCGCTATAGTTCGAGACATGATGAAGCTGAAGCTGCTAGCGGCGACACTGCTTGGAATATAATGTCCGGAATCTCGGAAACATATGTTGACGTGTAGACGGGCCTTGCTTTCGTAGAGTGAGGAAGGATGATCAATGTTGCTGTAGCCTATACGATATGGCAGACAAGCTGGAGAATATAGAACTTGAGCTACCTAGGTATGTACCTGTACCGTAGCTACTTCGACACATCATCGGTCCTCATTTGCCGAGCCTGACTACCTAGGTATCATGTAAATATGTTCTTACCCAAACTTATAAGTATGAAAGAGCAGAAGGCACAGCGAATATGTCTAAGGTGAGACCAGAGTGTCATGGAAAGCGCGGTTGTTGAAGCCTACTTGAAGATGAGAATGAAAAATGTCTGGTTTTCGCTATCACAGACCTGGGGCACCTTAGATTGACTAGTATTCTTTATCCCTGTTCCTAACTCTTATATTTGCTGACAAAAGGAATCTCTTATGATGGAATAATATCAGGAAGTAGGTAGTTGGCATCCAGGTGTGACACAAGTAGATAGGAGATAAATAGATAAATGACTTTGAAATTGTCCGTGAGCTAAGGTACCTGCGGCGCTATTGGCAGTGAACAAATGCTTCTGACAAACATGACCAGTAACCAATAGGGGGCACCTAATATCCCTAATTGACCTAGCGCCGACCTCGCTCATTCCACTCACCCGCCATGACTCCAAAGCTGTTCGACGGCCTTGATGTACTTACGAAATACTACCTACCTAGGTAGTTTGAATGGCCGATGGAGAACATCTGAGAAGGTATAGTTCCCTGTTCTACTATTCAATTTTATTGTTTTCTGAGCCCTGGTTGTGATATATGATGTTAAATGGAGTGTTAGGAGAAGCTTTAACTACCCAAGTATTCACATACCTACTTCTCCGCTCTATTTCCACGTACCGCCAAGCTTGATCACGCTCTCATAAGTAAACCTCAAGCATTCAGGGGGTCACTCATCACACCGAAAGCTGATGAGGTCCTCATCTTCATTCTTCTTCAAGGTACTGCCTCACACTAGAGATAGGCCAAATGGAAGACTCGGGAGCCGGTACACCAGATGGAGGAGACACGTCCTCGTCAGAGCCCCCTCACGGTGGAGATCAGCACCCTGAGGTCGTTGTTATCTCTGAACACGGCGACGTCGTGCTAGACGTCACCTTCCAGAATTCAAAAGATACGATCCGTGCAGCCCGGAAGGCGGTACCGGTCAGGCCTACGGGTCGCACCGATCCGCAGCCGCAGCAGCCCGTGCCGAAAGCGCGGGTGCGTCTTGCCTTCCGTGTGGATCTTGCCGTGCTCAGGGGGCAGTCGAAGTACTTCGACAAGCTCCTCGGCGACGCACACTTCAAGGAAGCGAAGGATATCGCTGATGCGTTCGCGGCACTGTCGCTGAAGAAGGTGCAGCCCAGGGACGCGGACGCGAAGGACCTCCCGTGGATCTCGATCCATGATGACGACGAGGCGACGTCGTACGCCTACCGGGAGATGGTGTTCGCTGATCTCCTGCGGATTTTGCACGGGCAGGATGCGAAGACGGGCCAAGCGCAGATCACCATGTCGTTCGTGACGACGCTGGCTGTCCTCGCCGACCGCTTCGACTGCGCCGCTGCCGTGTCCAAATACGTGGCTACTGGGCTCAAATTTAAGTGGCCAGTCACGAATCGCGGTAAGCTATCCAGTGCCCGAGACGATAGTGGCGGTGCCAGTTTCAGTGGCATGAGCCGCACGAACGAGAATGTCCTGCGGCAGAAAATCCTCGTTTCCTGGCTCTTGAACCAACCCGGTAAGTTCCAGGCTGCGACAAGAGAGTTGATTATGAACGGCTCCTGTCAGTGGAGCTCCTTTGGGGAGCAAGAAGACGAATCGACCAGTGCTACTTGGTGGTACTTGCAGGACGGACTCGAGCGTACGTGGCTCAACCCTTCCCCTTTTCCCCTTTTCATAAGACATGATAGTCACTCCAGGCCGTGATATCTTTATCTTCTCTCATAGAGCAAATATCTACTTGCCCTCCACGTACAATACATATTAATCCCCTCGTAGAAGAACTCCAATACAGACGCAATAGCGTCTTGAACACCCTAGCCTCGGTACCGCGGCACTTCCTCATGCTATACACATCATCGCGCAGCGCGCGACAGTGCAAGCTAGGCTACGACTCGAGCGTGGCGTGCGACTCGTATCAGCTCGGCGAGATGTTCAAGTTCCTCGCGAACAAAGGGCTACTATTCCTTGTAGACTTTTCCCCCGGTTCCCTCGACGTCATTGCCGACACAGCGCTGCTCCCAGTAGATCACATTCTCTCTACCCTGCGGCAGTGTCCGGCTTACCAGATCGACAAAAACCATACCAATTGCGGCCTGCGTACCCGGTTGCTTCCCATCCTCGACTTCATCCAGGCTCTGCTATCTGCTAACTCCATCCCTATATCCCGGGCTGCGTGGAAGAACGGCAGGGCCGCACACGCGTGGATGCCCGCAGATGTGGATGGGAAAGCGGATGGGGTTGAAAAGCCATTTCGGTTCACGAGGGCGCTGGCGGCGGATCAGAGGTTAAGATTTGAGAACGCTATGGGTGCGGATAAGTTTGCTCGGGATGTGTTTACGGCCACAAGCTGGGACTGGACGGCTGAGGAACAGGGACAGGACCATGTATCTACGACGCCTAGATGGTCTTTTAGATGATAAGTCGAACTTGGCTAGACAAATTGCCGCTGTAGAAAATGGGAATATCATAAAACTGTATATATATATAGCAATCCAAGCTACAGGAAAGCCAATGGCGAATAAGAAGGATTAGTCAAAAAAAAATGCACAGGAAGAATATATTATTTCTTCAACAAATATGAGAAACTCCTAAATGAAACTAGCACAACATGATTAAAAATATATTAACATCTAGACAACAACGGATAATTAAAATGCCAGCCAAGGCCGCGGTCTATCCCTTAACACGCAATCCTTACCTACCCACGAAAATGGATACGAGCATTCACCAAGAAAACAAGCCCACATCACTGTCAAGCACACAGGAAGCTCATCTCAAATATGAATAGGGATTAGACCAGGCACGGCCTCTTTCCTGTATATATGCAAATCCAAGCCAGGAAATTCTATGTTCTCAAGCTCTCAAGCCAAACGATGATGAAAAAGCATGATAAGAATTCCAATGACAAAACCCCGACCAAATCAAACCAAACCCAATTTGGCTCCCGCTCCCAAAACGCCGGTTTTCGTTATTGAGGGGCAAAACGAATATGAGATGAAGAATGAACCAGATTTGTATGTAGAAGCTGGAGAAGCAACAAAAGCAAGAGGGAATTCTCAGGAACGAGGGAAGGACGATGAATAGAGTAATTCAACTCCTCAACGCCTCGAGCCTATTCCTCATCTGGTCCATCATAGCCTCCTGATCGTCCTCCTCGTCCTCCATCTCGACAGGCAGGGGCTCGCTCGCGACGGGCGCAGCAGCAGGCATCGGGCCCGCCTTCTCCATCTTGCCCTTGAGGATCTCCCCGAGGACCTTGTCGACCTCGCCGTCGGCCTCCATCTCCTCGTCCTCGAACATGGCGTCCTCGTCGACGGGGAGGTTCTCCCCGACCATCTCCTCGATGACGCCCGCCTTCAGCAGCTCGAGGCTGAGCTCGCGCATCGTCCCCGCCAGCTCGGGCAGCCGGATGAGCGTGTTCACGTCCTTCATGATCCCCACCGACGCCTTGATGCTGCCTTCGATCTTGCGCACCGCGAACGCCTCGTTCACCTGCATCTGCACGCTGCTGAGCTGCGCCTTCGAGGTGACGAGCCGCGCCGAGGTCCGCCGCGCGCGGATCAGCTCGCGCGCGAAGTCGCGGGCTTCGCGCTGGGCCTGGGCTCGTCGCGTCGCGTCGCGGGCGCCGCGCTTGTCCGCGGCGACGATGAGGTTCTTCGTCTTTATCTCGACTTGTTTGACGGCGGCGATGTCGCGGTCGAGTTTGCGGAGGTTGGAGCGGATGAGTTGGTTGCATTTGCGCATCTGGAAACGTTGTTCGTCAGTGCGATGTTCTTCTACATATTATATATATATAATTCTATTTTTTTTTCCCCTAGTCTTATTTTCCTCCCTTTATTTTTTGGGGGGTTTCTTCCCGTTCACGACGGATTGCCCGGGCATGGGTGATGGGTGGACACTTTGGCGAGTGATGGTGGGTGGCCTGCCTACCTGAGCATTGGGATCTGGTTTGACGAAGAGAGCTTTGAGGCTCTCCATGTTGGAGGACAGGTTGTGGCTACGACGGATGAGCGATGGATTGGTGTTGGCGTCGAGTTGCCAGTGGTTGCAGTACAGCAATGTATCAATAGGTTGAGTTTGTTGAGCTTCGTGGGGTTCGGCGATGGTTTGGCGATGACGTTGGCTGGGATAAGGGCCGCTATCAGTGACAGTCCCGAGGCTGGGGTTTCCGAGCATCCAAGGCTGAAGTGGGCAAGTCGGGTGCGGAGACAGGCAAATAGAGATAGGTACATAGGTATGTACAGTAGATACCTGTAGATACCTAGTGGATTCAATAACCGTTAGAATACCTAGGTAGGTATGTAGGTACTTGCTACAGTGCCTGGGCAGGGGTAGGTACCTAAGTTAGGTAGGTAGCTATGGATCTGCTATGGAGCAGGCTACCCCGCTATACTTCCTGTATCACCCAATGTGCTGCGAAGTTTTGTGTACCTCCTCAGACCTCATCAAGCTACCTTAGGTATGTACTGTGTATGTACCTACAGGCTACAGGTACCGCTGAAGTGGAATCGCACAACATCTTCCCTTGTCTCTCTGGTCAGATTCTTGAAAATATGGTTATCTGATTGTTCCATGTTCCACTGAGCCATTTGATGGATGAAGCAGGACATGAGAAGAGAAAGGCTCTGCATGTGTTGGTGTCACGGTGCTACCTTGCCAGGTATGGCGGATGACCTCCTCAGCACCTACAATACGTAGTACATACGAAGTAGGTAGGTAAAAAGGACGGGACCGATCTCAATGGTTTGTGATGCTGCAAAGTTGTGTTGATTGGAGAAGACGACATGGTCACGCAAATGCAAGATGCAAACGCATGCAGCCTGAAGTTGTGATATTGTGATGAGCGATAGGTACGTTGCCTACCTCGCCTACCTAACCTACTACTACTGCTCCTGTGAAGACGTCTCGTGCCAACCCCGCTGTCTGGATAGCGAGAGGGATGTGCGCAGATCAAGCCAAGCCGAGGTATTATATTCGGTATGTGGTGTCCTACCTGCTCAGGTACCAATATTGGAGGCGTCTCCTGGCCTGTTTTTCATAAACCTAAGGTAACCAGGCCAGCCAACTTCCTGCCCACTGCCAACTGCAATAATGGATGCCTCGTGTCTTCTTTTCTACTATAAGCCATAGTAGGGACAGCCAAGGCAACAATTCAAAGCGTTGGCTCAACCTAGAAGCGGTCAGCCAGCCGATGCAGGCACACGCCGCAACGTCCTTGCTCAGCCCTGCCGAATCGTAAAGGGTCCATAGACGTAATAATGTAATGCCTAGGCAACTTCAGGCTGTTCTTACAAGCAGGCAGTGCAATGTCTACTCTACATATGTACTTAGCTAACCCGATAGACTTAGCAAGATATACGTAATGCCTCGAGGTAGTCATTTGGGAGGGAAGAGAATGCACAGCAGAGAGAGATCAACACAGAAATCTACCTGAACGATGTCCAATCTTCAATTGCTTTTTTTTCGGGATGGTGCATATGTATGTAGCAGACTGCTACCAACTAGGTAGGTAGCCTACTGTCAGCTGTCTGGATTGGGGTAGTTGAATGCCTATATTTGAGGCGTTTGCGAGCATCACGATGCAGGCAGGGGTCGTCTTCAGTAGGTCTAAGACAATGAGAACAGACACAAGGACAGACACAAGGACACAAGGAGAATGGAGCAGACGGAGAGAGATATCTGTGGTAGATATCGTGGACAGGTACATGGCAAGTCTTAGCCATGGGCATGCAGGCAGACTATGGGATTCGATGGTGCGCCGTGGTGCTTCTAAGAATTTCGTAGAATCAAACGGGACCCCGGCTTTAGTGGGGTTCCACGCCGGTTGCATCACCAAATCCAATTGCTTGCTTGCTTGCTATTGCTGTTACTACCACCTCTTTACTTAAGTAGTTGCTCCAGTTGCGTATGTATGTAGTAGGTTATCTATAGCTTACTGTCTTGGAGAAAATAAGAGCTTTTTTTTTTTTTTTTTCTCCTTCCGTCACATCCATCATCTTCCCCCCAGCCTCATTTGTTGGAAAGCAGAACATTCCTACAAACAACTTGTACCAACTTCATACCACAGCCCGACACTGCTAGTCCTAGCCACTACCAGAAACCTCCCCCTCCCCCGCCGTTGCCTAAGGGTTCAGGTACGTTCTTCCATCCTTGCCTTCTACTTGCAATAAATAAATACTACATGTAGCTATGTATGTAAGGTATGTACATAATGTACCTAGCTAAGGTACTTGAGTACATGTGGTAGCTATATGTACCTACCTCCTAGTGGAATATCTACCTACCTATCTACCCTGTCTCATCTCATCACACAACATCACGCCTCTCTCTCTCTTCTTCTTCCTCCTCCTCCTTCTCCTCCTCCTCACTTCTCATCTTCAATCCCAACTGAGCAACTGCTGATACCCCAATCGTGCACTACTCTTAGTGAAAACTACTCACACAAGTCTTCGCCAGCTTCTTAGCTACACATCCTATCACCATCTCCGCCTCGTCAGCTCCCATCAGTCAACATGTCGCAAATCACTCCTGAAGGTAAGTTCCGTGCCATGCCCCCTCCTATACCCCGCCATGACCAACAAACGTCTCATATATCCCAACTCCTGTCACCCTCCGCTACCCTCGTCTAGCCTGCTAGCGATCTGTAGTCGCCGGTTGGCAAGGGCCGAATAGAATTGTTAGGCTAACATGATGCTTTTTTCACCCATATAGTTCTATGGGCCCAGCGCTCCTCCAGCACCGACCCTGAGAAGAACATTATTTTCCTTACCATCTCCGTCCCCGATGTACCCAAAGAAAGCTTTAAGCTGGATCTCCAACCCACATCTCTGACTTTTGACGGTCACTCGGATACTCTCAAGCGAACCTACCATCTCGACCTTGCCTTCTATGCTGAGATCGATGTCGAGAAGAGCAAGGTCCACCACACTGCCCGCAATGTCGAGATAAAGCTGCGCAAGAAGGATCTCAAAGAAGAGTATTGGCCCCGTCTGCTCAAGGACTCAAAGAAGGTCCAATTCCTCAAGACCGATTTCGACAAGTGGGTCGACGAGGATGAGCAGAACGAGGTTCCCGAAGACGACCTCTCCCAGTTTGGCGGTATGGGTACGTTCATATCCACCATTCCCACCTCTCTCAATTCTTTTCATGAACACCATTCCCAGCACTATGACGCAGTTAGTATCTTGAAAACAGAAACGCTAACCTACTTGTGCCTACAGGAGGCATGCCAGGCATGGGCGGAATGGGTGGAATGGGTGGAATGGGTACGTGATCTACTATTCGGGCCCATATATTACAATATGTGGCTATGATATCAATGCCATTCATGAAAGGCAACCACAACTAACACAATTCTGTTTCACAGGTGGCGGTGACTTCGGAGGCATCGACTTTTCGAAATTGGGCGGCGCTGGTGCAGATGCCGGCTCTGATGATGAGGGCGATGAGGATGACGACGATGATGAAATGCCCGCTTTGGAAGGCGAGGAGGACGCCAAGACCGATGCTAAGGCCGACAAATAACCTGGGGAAAACATCGGACATGCTTGCGTATCTTAGATCTCCCTGCCCCATCCTCGACTTTTCACCCCCTTGGTCTGAATAAAAAGTGTTGTTTCTGTTTCACGGGTCAGTCCAGTCCACACTTCTACGGTACAGTTCGGCGGCGCATAGAACAGAAACGGCGAAAGGGCAACTTTGGTCTCAACTTGTGTATCGTTTCTTGGGGGTGTTTCCAGGATTTCAGTTTAGGCGAGTTCGGAAAGGTTTATGGTACTTTTTTGATCCCCTCCCGCCTGTTAATTCGATAGCCAAAAATCGAGCAGAGAGATTCTTGTTTTTTGTTAAGTCTGTTCTTCCACCTAGTTCGCAACGTCTGTCTGGGAGGGCTAGTGCGGTGATGTGATAAATCTGCGGCTGAGCAATCAACTAGTACAATGAACGCATTGGCTCACCACCCCTGGATCCCTAGCAAGGGGTCTCGAAGGGTAATATCCGGTGCCCCCTTTGGTGGTGCTAAATCGACGGGTTAGGTATATCGCTGATATATGTGAGTATTCCTCTTAACTGGTATCACATATATGTTGTGATATGTTGAAATACAAGCTCTAAGGGGATGGATCTATTGGAATGAGGCTAGTTAATAGCTCAGGAGGAAGCCTAGGAGGAAAGGAAACGCCATGTTAAGGAGAGGAAGGAGATGGGGGAAAGGGGGTGGGATTACTGGCTGTCTGGTTCGTACGCATTATTATCCTTGAATTAACAGGAGAAGAGAGGGGATGAATTGTAGAGGCACGGGGTTGGAAAACTGGTTTTTTTTTTGTTTTTTTTTTTTTTTGTTTTTTTTTTTCAGGGAGATTCGTGAGTATGTTTGTGAGGTATGGGAAAGGGAAAGAGGGACTTGTGAATAGGAGGGAAGGGAAGGGAAGGGAATGGTGTTGTTGTAATTTCCGAGATTATGGCTATCTTTGTTATCTTCGGCCTGGTCGGTCTGCTTTTGGTTGTTGTTGGTAGGAAGGGAAGGGAGCTTGCATGCGCACGTACATATATATATACCTATATCTAATAAGTCTGTGCTAGAAAGTCGTGTTAGGGGAGTGATGAGGTGCTTGAGTTTGGAAGACTGATGCATGTTTGTGTCTTCTTTGAGATGTTGTGTGTATGGCAATATCGGGATAGGAGTTTTTTTACTCGTAGTTATTGCTGAGTGAAGGTCTCGGAGACGAGATTGGATGAATTGGTCTGTGGTGTCGTTTATCTGTCATACGTGCGATCCTTCGTTTGCTAACTCGAGTCTGAGATTAGTCTGGATATTCGAGGTTGTAATATGAGCTGTCATCGTTGCCGTTGTTTGTCTCGCCTGGCATTATCTACTCCGCTCTCATCTGTATCCTTTAAGACGAACTCAGTCCGCTTTTGTGGAGGGATCTCTGATATTGATATCCTGTTCCTCTGAGCGTTTCTTTCGATCTGGATTGCCCTGAAGATGCAGCGGATATCCCGCGAGTTCCTCGTAGTAGTGTTTGAGTATGTAGGTAGATATTCAGATCATGAGCTATGGATCATGTGATTCAGCGCCCAAACTCATCGTCTGGCCTTGGTGGACTCCGGTTTAAGTTAATCAGAGCCTAAGACATTGCTACCACGTGTCAGGTGGCCGCCTGAAAGCTTGTTTGTCGAATGGTTGGTTCGTTCAGCTGTGCTGACTTGCTTGGTTCCTGACTGTGGTGTGGTCTTCACTGTGGTGTTATTGGAGCGTGTACGCCACGTGCGGTTTTGCAGGCTGCAGTATTTTAGGCGACGCGGGATCCTTTAAGATAGCAAGTCTCTACCTCTATTTATTCGTCCCATAGAGAGATGTCGGGAGGGTAATCTTGAACGAGATCTCTTTGGCAGTTTCGGCGTGTCTATGCTCGTGTTAGTGTTGGTGTGCGTCTCCGAAAGGGCTACGGAATATAGGCACGGTCACGAAGCCTGGGACGTCTTCGGCCTATCATCTTCTCACCTACGATTTATTTGACGTCTCTGTGGCTGCATTGACCTGTAATTCAGCCTCCCTTTAACGTACTTCCACGCCGATAGATTAATATGAGGGATGTAAAGCTTGAATCCTTTCATATTGACTTTAAGCTCGATTCAAGGTTCTCTGCCGTCCTGACTTTTAGATAGCAGAGACTCAACCATAGGGTAAGATAACGCGAGCAAGTGGTGAAGTACAAATAACGAGGCACTCTCATTCTATGGAAACGCTGAAACGAACATCTCGAATTTTGAATACGAAGACTTGTATATTGTCGATAATAGTGTTGTTCTACGAATGTCTTCGCATGTAGGTTGAAAAGGAAATCTAAGAGCTCTACAAAATCCAATCAACAGCAACAGTCACTTTTCGCTTGGAGTAAAACTGATATATGCCCATGCACTATAGGGTATTGTACCTCGAAACGAATGACTTAGTCAAATCATGCCATCGCTTGGTATTCCCATATCCTGTTTGGCATGGTTTCTATGAGATTTCATAGTGCTAAGAATAATATTTTCTTTTCTACATGATATGTTCCCCTGATCTGGAATTGACTTTCTAGACGAGAGTCTAGCTTGTGAATCACTGAAATTTACAAAGCAGAAAAGAACCAAGTGGCCAAGTGGACATTTTCTTTTCTTCATCTCTTCATACACAATAAGAAGCTGGGATTTTTCTCCTATATACCGGGTATCTCAATCAAGAATTGCCCGACTGGTCTTGGTCTGCGGTTAACTAGCGCCGGTAGTTGAAGTAGAACCATAAACACGGGGCTCCGGCCTGTCTCATTCGATATTCGTACACATTCGGCAAGTAGTGGGTTTGTCCCTACGGCACTGCATTGGATTCGATGCCGGCTTTGTGGATTTTGAATCCCCCTCCCTCTTTGGTCCTTAGTGAAAAAAACCATTACATTGACACTCGTGAACATGACTCTCCTGAATGTCTTGCCGCACCGGGTTGGTCGCCTAGGTAGTAGGTAGATGAGATGACTGGCTGAGATATTCAGTCAATATGCCAGATTCCGCGGCAAGTCATTCATGCTTAGCGATTTCACAGCACGCGTGGCATCACTCGCAGCAATACTAGCGAACGATTGGCGTGAAATTGAGTAGATGTGTGATTAACGTAAGCGACGGTATCTGGCTGATTCGCTGTAATCTCGGGGTTTGGAGACATCGCAAGCTCTTGCCTAATTGACAAATGGCCTTGGAGGACTGAATGGGGGTTGATAGAGAGAGGGGGTGGTCAGTGGGATGTGATTGACTCCACGATCAATTCCCAATTCTAAGTGGATTGCTTCATTGCTACCTGCTACGGGGCCAGCTGATACGAAATTCACATCTAGACTACTCGGGGAGCTTTGAAATGTGCTCCTCGCAAACACTCCAAACCGAAATGCCAGACCGGTCTGCCAACCATCTCACGATACCATGTCAGGTGGATGGAGTGGGTGTGAAGAAAGTGAATGCTTTGCCAATTTCCTGGAATCGAGAGGGGCTTCCATTTTTTTTTTCGCATGAATCATATAAAAAAGGCAGAAAAGGTGCTAGCTAGGTATGTGATTCATCATATTGTGCGTGCCTTGGCTTGCATAGCAACAGCGACGACAATGTCAATGTCAAACGCATCGAATCCCAAGCGCCTCAATCACATCGCACAGGAAACGATCGTGTCTTCTCTAGCGTAGCCGAATCTTTCTCGGCAGCTACGTGGATGCGCATTTCACCTTACCAGATCAGACGCGAGATAAGTTGTCAAATCAGTCAGTATCTTGGTATCTTGCAGCATACATACGTGCCCATACGAGGAGATGAGAGGGGACGGGCCGGCTTCGGGACCAGCCCTACAGATCTACTTGGTAGTATTCTTTCATGCCCAAACGCAAGCACAGATGGTAGCAGGTAGGTAATAAGATGTGCTGGTACATGGTGGGCATTGCTGTCATTTTGCCCAATTTTTTTTCAAAGCCCATACCATGACTCTGTCATTTTTCCATGATTTATCGAAACACGCCTGTCTGCATAAGACAAGAAGCACGTCATGAAACCACCCACCGGGGCGTACTCTGACGAGACCGAGAGAGGGCGGCCGCAAATGCGGCCTCGATGTAAAACAAAGCAAGCAAGACATGTCACTAGCATGAGGGAGGACGCGAGTGCACATTGGGCTTCAACGCTTCTTGGACCAAGAACGTCTCCTCCGTGAACTTACCTTACTCTGTCCTTTGCCGTGATTACACACACCTACGATGCGAAAGGAGAAAAATCCGGACCCGAAGGAGCACCTTACCATTTCCTGCCTGGTCCTTTTTTGCTTTCGCTGTCCTTCATCAGCCTAGCTGTGGTGATATATTTACCAAAATTTCCTTCGTATCTTCCTGTTAAGGAAAATCCTGGCCGTCTAACCCGCCGTGCGCAGCTAGCTGAGCGGGTTAAATTGTTATTATTAGGGCTCAGGCAGGATATATTGTAACCCTGTGGCTTGTGAAGTGTCATGGCACGGTTGATCCTCCCGTCTACTGGTACCTACCTAGATGGAGGGTGTTTAAGCGAGGATGTGGGGGAGGAGTAAAAGGAACGCGGAACTGACTGGACTCAGCAATGAGACGGCGCACTGGTACCGCTGTGCCCAGTCTATATATATATGTAATGAAATGTCATGGCGCTGTATACATAGTCTGTGTGTAGATGCTGCAACATCCCGGCGATGAGTTCGTCCGTCCTGAATGCTACATTACTGAGTCTTATTTTATCCATCATAGGTAAGCTGAGAGATGAGATTCCGATGAGCATTCAGCTCGAATTCGCTAAGGATAATGTCGACGGCGAACGAAAAGGATGGATAGGGGGCTTATGTCTTAAGGTTACTTCTAGAATCCGTAGGGAAACACGAAATCATTACTAAGGGGGGGTGTTGTTAATGGAGGTGTTTTCCCACACAGACAAAGTCTCCGTCATAGGCTTGTCGAGGAAGCGGTATGGAGAACTGATTGATAAGATCACGATGTGGGTAAAAAGCAAGAACGAGGGGGAGCACGGACAATGTCACTCTGATTAGCGATCGATTCCACATGTACCATAGCGCGTAGTACTCACTCTGCGAGGGATTTTCGATAGCAACCCAATTCAAATCGCAAACTCGCTACTCGTGGGAGTCAAAATTGGCACCCAGCCCTACGTCACCTACCTGTTACTGTTAGTCCATGGCAGATGGCCTGGCTGACTGCCGATGGCTGATAGCGAAGTCTTGCTAATTTCGAAACCCACCTCATACGCTTCCTTCTGAAAGGATGCCAATATACCGGTAGATAGGATTGTGTGTTGCGTTCCGACTCATCTCCGGCGGTCAGACGCCGCGACA